AATCCATACTGTGGAGTACTGACCACTCCACCGTGAAAAGGAGCAGATAGCGTCAGTCCTCTGCGGTGTGGACCAACCCGTGTCCCCGTTGTGTTATGCCCAGTGAAAGGAGGCAGCCCCAGCCACCTGCCTGCTCTGCTGCGTGGTCCCACTTGCCGACGTGGAAACAGGAAAGGGGAGTTCAGAACGAGCTCGATGGTTACCCAACGCAGGGTGTGGGAAGAGGGGTTGACTGGGACCGGGACCGTGGGCATTTTGGGGCGCGATGGAATCATTCTGTATCTCGATTGTAGTGGCAGTTACTCAACGGTGTCCATTTGTCAAAACTCAGAACCAACCATTAAAAAGTGAATTTTACAGCTTGCAGCTTGTAAATTACACTTTAGTAAACCCGACTTAAAGCTTTTAGGCAGCAAGATATTTTTGGTATGTTCTGTACGCACGTGTTTCAAAAATCAAAACGGCATGAAGGAATACAGTGAAAAGCCTGTATTCCTGCCCTGTTACCCACAATCTCCAGGCGTTGGGAAATTCCTCTGAATGGGTGTCACCATATATACAGATTTCATTGTTACTGTTTCCAATGCAGAACACAGCTCGCTAACCTAATTTTCCAGTTCTCTCTCTGTGTAGTAACGCCACACTTCCCTCTATACCGGTTTGTTGAGACCTTCCGTTCTTTTCTGTGGCCACATGGCAGGAACGGTGTGGTTTGATGGTCCCAGGTTTCCCCCCCCCCCCGTATACCCGGGGCTGCTGCAGTGAGTAACCTTGGATACACAGTCAGTGCTCTCAGAACTCGCGTGTTGAAAACAGATTTGTTGCAATGCTGTGAACACATCAGGGAACAGTTGCAGCACCGCCCCTGACGTCAGGTTGGCTCATGTGTGATCTCACCCCTGAGAAACTCGAGGTGAACACGGTAAACTGTGATGGAGCTGTGTCGGAGTAAACAAAACACACATGCACCTCACAGTTCCACCTGCGGCCACACCTGCCCGCGCTGAGTCACACTGGTGCCCACCTGGCGGTGCCGCTTCCCTGCTGCCCTCCCCTTTCGGAAGACCCTTCTCCCACCACTTCACAAACACGCAGCAAGCCACACCCTCTGACTCCCGCTGCCACCAGCAAACGGCAGGTCGTTTTCCAGGGAGAGTGCCATTTTGATTTTGCAGTATCTGTATATTTCTCAACCATTAGACACGCATAAAATCATGCTCCTGTTTTATTAAGTAGACCACTGACCGAGTTTTTGAGTGTTAATGCCCCTAGCTTAATTTTTGATGGAAGCCCTGTGGTTTTTGTTGGCCAGGCTTACAGAGTGCCGTGATGCATATGTATGTTGTATCACTACAGCAGAACTGAGTGGACCTTGTGGGTGTATCTGGAGAATAGATTTCCAAGTGGGAGGGCCCAGAGTATAGGAGTCGAATTCTGAGAGAGGCTGCCATGACACATTTATAGGACATAGTTGGTTTTCCCTTTTTTCAGGAGTAAGGATGAAGCTGAAGCGTGTCCGTGTGGTTTGGGAATGAGCTTAAATTTGGGGGTGTTCCTGGGCATGTGGGGTGCATCAGGAGTTTAGCATGTTGGTGCAGGGCAGGGGCCTCTGGGGGTGGGCAGGAGTCCCAGGAAAAGATGAAGGGAAGGTCTAGCCGGTTGGCTTTGTGAAGCTGGCACACGCCTCCAGCCGAGAGACAAGAAGGGACTAGTTGTCAGCATGGGAAATGGCCGACTGTGACAAAGCCCGTGGCAGCCCAGGACACGCTCATCAGGTGCCATCCAGATGCCGCGGACCTCAGGCATTTTCCAGCCCAGTGCTCGGACCCAGCGTCCACCGTGAGCCCAGGGCCACGGCTGCCCGCCTGCAATGTGCCAGGGAAGCCCGTGCTTTTCTTGCCTCAGCGTGTGGAGGGGAAGAGTCAGACCTTGGAAATCAGGGAGATGGTTAGGAAACGTACCCAGTGCTGATTTGATATTTTACGCTAAGGTGTCACAAATTTTTCCAGACCTGCTAGCTCATTATATTAATTTACTGTTTCTTCAAAGAGCTCTGCTGAAAAAACAAACAAAATAACTGACAACTGAGTGGGGAAACATGGATTTTCTGAAGTAACTATAAAAAGCGCACTCAAGGCCATGGTTCCCTCCAATATCAGCTTACACCCCACTGGAGCCAGAAGGAAGTAATCGACCTTCAAAGTTTTGAAAATAGAACAGTGGTAAACTTCATACTTTTCTTAATACTGGGTTTTTGGTTTTTTGTTTTTTTTTTCATTTTTGATTGACAGAAATTGTAGCAGTGTGAACTATTGTAATACTGAAGATAGAGTTATGAAAATAAATTAGGTTAAAGCATCTCTAAGTAAGTGAGTATTATTTAAAATTTAGCAAAGAAGAAAGTCGTTTGTTTTGTGAGGCGGGTATGATCTGGAAACTGGTGTTTAAACCTGTAATTTTCTTGTCACCATTGATCTGGAAATGCTGCTCCATTGTTTTGGGCTTTGCATAGTTCATTCCTGCATTTTTTTAAATAAAGACGTTGAAAAGGAAGACTATCTCACACATTGTCAACTCTGTTTGAAAACAGTAATTATTGATTCAGCTAAGCTGCTCTTCATTTAATGTATTATCTCCTGAGGATTCCTTTATTGAAACTTCTCTGTGAACATTTTGGTTTGCTACTAATGTAACCACAGCACGAAGAGAGGAAGAGAAAGCTGGTATTAAGCCCTTCACCTGAAAAGAAAATGCAATTTACATCTCTCTGAGGCCTCTTGTCCCTTGTGTCTTTAGACGGGAGTATATTTCAGTGGTCTGTGTCCTTTAGGATTCTTGGCTACAACTTGGCTTTTAGAAATGTATCTTGTGTTTTGATTCTTTCAGGTAATCTTAATATTGTCCATCTTACATGTGCAAAGTTCGAAGGGAATTAGATATTAGTAGATATTTAAATAACCTTGTTGAAACATAGGAGAACCATTCATGACTCACTGTTTCTTGTTTAGAGCTTGATTCTGAGTGTAACCGCGCCTTCGTTCTCAGGCTGTGTAAATCTAAGACTGGGGTTTGCCGGCGTGTGCTTTGCGTGACCACGGTTCTTATGGAGGAATGCCTTTGGGAGAAGGGACAGCGCATCGCAGAGCACCAGCTGGGTATTCGCTTTGTTCTCTCTGTGTTTCCCGGAGATTATGTGCTTCAGGAAAGCAGTAAAGGCAGTGGTGCCACTTTCATCCTCAACACAGAGAAGAAACTCCCTACTTTGCCTTTATCTGGTTCAGGACTCTTTGGAACACCTGCCAGACTGATTTGCTTTGTTTAAAAGACACTATTCCCCTCTCTTTCTAAATGAAACTCGGGCCCTGACAGCAAAGTATTGCGGGTTCGATCCCCAGTCAGGGCACATACCTAGGTTGGGGTTTTGATCTCTGGTCGGGGCGCGTGCAGGAAGCAACCAATCCTCTCTCTCATCAATGTTTCTTTTCCTCTCTCCCTAAAATCAATGAACATATATTTTAAAGGAACTTGGATATGTAACTTTACTGTAACTAATAAGAAAACATTAATGAAATAGAGAACAGGCTGACAGGGACCAGAGGGGAGAGGGGAGGGAATTTCAGGGGAAAAGGGGAAGGATTCACAGGAACAAGTATAAAGGACACATGGACAAGAACTAACAGGGGTGGAAATGGGAGGGAGGTGGGGAGCACTGGGGGGTGGGCTGGGCTGGGAATAAAAGGCAGAAAACTGTACTTGAACAATAATTAAATAAATTTTAAAAAAGAAAAAATCATTCACTGAGGATTTCTCTTGTGTCTCATGGCTGGGGTGCCTCCCCACCCCCAGCCGCGCCCCCTCTGAGGGGTGGTCTCCGCCTTACAGTCGGGGGCGGGGTTAGGGTTAGGTGGATGTCTAAACACTGCAGCCACGTGGATTTGCTTTCCCATTTGACTAGGACATGTTTGTCAGGAGGCCTAAACTATGTATCATTTCTTTATCACTTAGCTCACAATTGCTTGCTTACTTCTCTCCCTCTCTAGTGCCCAAAATAGTAATGTTACTTGAGACACCACATTCCCATGAGAACATAGTCTTGCTTCGGCCTCAGTCTGAACGAGGGCCGAGCCGCGCACTGCCCGGATCTGAGGCTGACCATTCTTTCCTGCTCCGGTTCACTTGTGCCGCATCTGTTGTTCACATACTGCGGTGCTGGTCACAGCCGAAGGGTTCGTTCGGAAGTTAAGCCACCGATTTGACTCCCTAGGTTCTCCATGGGAGTAGGTCAAGGTGACATGGTTATGTCGTAGCCGGAGCGGGAAATTTTTAACCAAGGTTTTTGTGAAATTTGTGATCGCTTTCTCTTGTGCTCTGTCTGTCTCCCACCCCCATCCTCTCTCTCTGTCTCTCTCGTGGTCCACGTGCCAACAGGCCTTCTCCATAAAGTGGTTTCAGACGTCTGTGTTCTTGACGCAGCCACGTGGTATTATTTACAACAAAAGTCCTTCTGTAAAACTCTTTCTCCCTATAAGGAATAATTACTTAATCATTCGGTGGGAGAGAGTTAAGAGGTTTAAAATTAGAGATTTCATTTAAAAAGGCATATGGGATGAGGGGACATATTCTTTCTGGACATAGGGAATTAAAAATAGTGGCTTGATTTGGTAATTACTGAAGAGTTACATTTTCTTATATCATCCGCTCTTAAAAACGACATATACTGTATCTGTTTTGCAAAGAAACTTTACATAATGTTTTCTTTAAATACCTGGGCGTTTGTGTCGAATCAAAACGTAAGTGTTGTTGAGAAAAAGTAAAATGTTTTTATTCTCATGACGAGGTTGGTTTCATTCCATAGAAACTAGCTGCCTCATGGCCCCCCGGCCATGCTGGGCAGTGATGAGCATTTGGCTTCAGCTCTCAGGGAAGAGTTCTGAACTTTTAACGAGGTTCCTGTCTGTGCTCGCTCACGTGACTCTCTCCCTCTCTCCTCCGCGGTGAAGCAAATGAAGAAGCACCCCTGCCGCCAGTGTGACAAGTCCTTCAGCTCCTCGCACAGCCTGTGCCGCCACAATCGGATCAAGCACAAAGGCATCAGGAAAGTTTACACCTGCTCGTAAGTCATGGTTTCTAACGTGCGGGGCACAGTGAGGGCACTCGGCCGGCCAGACATTCACCAAGGTTCCTCCCGGCTTCCCGTCCCCTCCCATTCCCGCCCGGTCCCACGGTCTCTGGATTGCGCGTCTCCGTGACAGCCTGCAGTTTTGACATGCGGTGTCTCGATTGGACGGGAGCACTTAAAAACGTTGAACTCGAAAGGTGCAGTTTTTTGCGCATCCTGGGTAGGTGGGTTCCTGTGCTCCGGCTGTTTCCCAGAGGTGTCCACCGTGTCAGGGAGGATTAGGGAGAGGAGAGCGACCGCAGGGGCACAGTGCCGTGATCTGCCCGCCTGGGTGATTCATTTGTCTCCTTCTAACTTGACTGACTCTTGGGTGCAGAGAGGCCCTGGTGGGGCCTGGTCCCGGAGTCAGCCTGAGGCTGACAGTTGGCCCTGTGGCTGTCGTTCACCGCCCAATGCAGGGTGGCCTGTCCCAGCACATGCTATTGGCCAAGGGACCAAAGGCGTGGGACTGAGTGGGCCAGCACACTGTGCCTCTTGGGATGGCTGTGAGCAACTTGGTGTGTGGCGACCAGAACTCGTATGTTATTATTAATGAGAAAGCTTTCTCCTATATGCAAACAGAACGTGCCTGAAGTGAGTGGATATAACAAGGTCACTTACTTTAAGGCACTTCTCATAAAAGTGAGAGAACTCAAAGACAGGGAAGCCGTATGGCAGGCCCGTGGCACGTGGCCCTGGAGACTCACGAGTGTTGGCTGTCAGATCAGCGGGACTTGGCTGGGGCGTGGTGAGCGAGGGGCAGTTTCTCGGGTAGGAAAACAGGGATGTAGTAGACGCCCCTTCGGTGAGATGGAAGCTGGGAGTGATTTTGGAGAGATGAGAACATTCTGTAGATAGAGTCTGTGTGTTGAGATTGTACGGAAAGAATCAGAACTTAGAAGGGAGGCCTGGGCTGGGCGGAAGATGAAACGGAAGTCTGGCGTGGCAGGGTCCTTGACGTGGCGGGTTTTGTTTATTTCCCCGTGAAGTCACCTAGGACTGTCTGGCTCATTTCCTGGGTTCCTCGGTGTTGGCACAGGCGCCCACCGCTGACCGGGTCTCTAACATGAAATCAGTGGAGTTTGGGGCCAGTTATCATAGAATCCATAGGAGCTTTTCCGGAGGTGGCAAATTTGGTTCTTCGTTCCCTTCCGCAGCAGGTTCTTTCTGATGTCTAGCTCATTAACTTTTTGGGGGTTACTTTTTTTTGGCCTGTTTTATTAAGAAAACTGTAAATTCGTATCTTCCAAAGAAAAACCATATCCATAATCTATTGGGTATTTTTGCATAAGATAAAATGATTTGGGGCATCCGTCCACAGTTTTCTACATGAGTCTCTGGACGGACACACCTACTTGAGTGCTGGGATTCTGATGGGGCCTGTCCCATTTGTGCCTGGGTGAGGGATTTGACCAGGCGGGACACCATCCCCTCTGTGCTGTGGCAGAGTGGTCAGGAATAATTGAGCTCAGCATAAAGGAGTGAGGGAGGGACTTCACAGTTCATTGTCCCCGTGACCCAAATTCTGAGTCAGGGTGAAGAAAACTTTCAAAGTCGACCATTCTCCCTTTTAAGATTAAAGCCACCTAGCGTTACAAATTAAGTGATACTTGAACCAGACTTAGACAGTAAATATTCATGTGCACCAAAGCAGGCCGGGCCTGTGAGGACACAGAAATGGGCAGAAAACTTTCCAAAAGCTGCGAACATTTTTTTTTTCTTTGCTCAAATTGGATACTGTGATTTAGAGCAAAATTTTGCGATATCACTTTGGGCCACTGGTATTGACTGACAGAGATCACCTTGACCCCTCTGAGCGTGCAGCCGGTGGTGACGGTCCCGCAGAAGCCACAGCAGCCACCTGGGACGCGAGTCCCTGTTCAGCGCGTGGGTCACCTCCGTGTCCTCTCCCCTGCCCTGCAGGCACTGCGCAGACTCCAGGCGGACCTTCACGAAGCGGTTGATGCTGGAGAAGCACATCCAGCTCATGCACGGGATCAAGGACCCTGACCTGAAAGAGATGACAGAAGCCACCAACGAGGAGGACCCAGAAATCAAAGAGGACGCCAAGGTCAGATATATTGCAGGTGTTCTCTTTACGGCATAATTGTGTTGATTTGGGTTTTTTTTTTTTTTCCAGTTAAAAGTTTCTGCAGTGACCCGATTTAAAAGAGTCAGACTGTGCATGGAGGTGTGAAGGAATAGGCAGTCTTCCTCTACACCCATTCTGACCTCTCCTCCTGCTCCTGAAAGGGAACCTGTGTTGTGTTTCCTCTGAGCCCTTCCAGAAATAGCTGCAGGCATCTACCTACATAAGTAAATTTAAAATGGTGGTGACAAGGCACAGAAATCACCTCTTGGCCAGCAGGAATGTATAGAGCTAGATTTGGTTTCCCTGGCAGCAATACCAGGTGTGGTAGTGTCCTCGTAAAAGCCTCGCTTCCTTTTAGCTTCTCTTTGTAACCATGGAAGCTAACACGGCGGATCCACGCCTCATTCTTCCATTAGCAGAGAGTGAACTTGGATCAGACAGTGGCGTATATACTCACCTGTGCACAAGGTGTGCGTGTGCCCTTAGAGTGAAGCCTCAGCTGAGCAGACGTCTCAGAGCTGCTGCGGTCTTTGGCACTGGGCTGCAACTGGAATGTACCTGCGTAAAGCCTACATGTGTTTTCAAGGAGTTACACACTGAGTCAAGGCCCGTCAGAACACTGCTCAGACCAGTGTCCCCATTAGATTGTAATCCTTTCCAGAGGGGTGTGGGAGGCAGGGATTCAAGGATGTAGGTGGAGCCCTGGCTGGTGTGGCTCAGTGAATTGAGCACCAGCCTGTGGAGCAAGGGGTCACAGGTTCAATTCCCAGTCAGAGCACATGCCTGGGTTGTGGGTCAGGTCTCCAGTAGTGGGTGGGACAGGTGTGAGAGGTAACCACACATTGATGTTTCTCTCCCTCTCTTTCTTTCTCCCTTCCCCTCTCTCTAAAAATAAATAAAATATTGAAAAGAGTGTAGGTGGAGGGGCAGCTTCAGTCACGGTGCCCTCAGTCATAGCTTCAGGTCAAGGTACAGGAGAGACACCCTGTGAACAAGGTGGAAAATTGGGGCCATGGAACTGGGAGGAGGGGGATCCCATTGGCTTGGATTTTTGGAGATCGAATAAGGCGGGGATTGGGTGTGGCTCAGATCTAGAAAGCTGGAAAGGCAGGAGAAGGGTGTGACCCATCGGGAAGGAATTTGACAGAGGTGAGTGGTCAGGACAGGGCAGTTACTGGACCAGCCGGGCTTCCGGTGAGTCTCCATTGTAGAGACAGAAAAGGCAAAATTCCTGGCCTTTTCCCCCCCACAAGGTGTTTTTCAGTCCTCTCAACCCCCGAGTCTCCCCCCGCCCTCTCTCTGCACTCGCCTGGCCGCCCTGATCCAGCCCCACTGGCCTTTGTGCCCCAGGCATGGGCCCCACCTCCAGCCTCTGCCTACACAGCTCCCCATGTCTGGTCCCTGTTCAGAGGCCACTGTCATTCCACGTGCAACCTGACAGCCCCACCCCTCCCGTCCTTCCGTGCTGCTTTATTTTCCTGTGTGTGACCCTGTAGATTGGCTCCTTGGTTGCTGCTTGTCACACTCCAATGGAGCCCACCTCCCATGACGGCAGGAACTTGTTTGTTCCCTGCTGGGCCCCTGGGCTGGAGCTCCGCCTGGGCCACAGGAACGCTCAGATTTGTGGAGCCTCAGTCGGGGTGGCAGGCTCGCAGCCGTGACGGCGCCCAAACCCCCCAGCTGGCAGCGCACGTTTTCCCGGCAGCCTCGAGTCCCAGGGAGCCGGCCACCGGCCGTCCAGCCAGCCCATGCCTTTCAGTTGTGTCTGTTTCTTTCTCCAAGGTTCCCAGTCCCAAGCGGAAGTTGGAAGAACCAGTTTTAGAGTTCAGACCTCCCAGGGGTGCGATTACGCAACCGCTGAAAAAGCTAAAGATCAATGTTTTTAAGGTTCACAAGTGCGCCGTGTGCGGCTTCACCACCGAGAACCTGCTGCAGTTCCACGAGCACATCCCGCAGCACCGGTCGGACGGCTCCTCCCACCAGTGCCGGGAGTGCGGCCTCTGCTACACGTCCCACGTGTCGCTGTCCAGGCACCTGTTCATCGTGCACAAGCTGAAGGAGCCGCAGCCGGTGTCCCAGCAGAACGGGGCCGGCGAGGAGAGCCAGCAGAACCAGCCCAGCCCCGAGCACGAGGCGGCCGACGGCGCCGCGGCCGACCGGAAGTGCAAGGTGTGCGCGAAAACGTTCGAGACCGAAGCGGCCTTAAACGCGCACATGCGGACCCACGGCATGGCCTTCATCAAATCCAAGAGAGTGAGTTCAGCGGAGAAATAGCCACAGACCTTCCACCACGAGGAAGAGCCCTGTCCACATGGGAATGAAAAAGACATTTTTGTTACAGAAAGGTTGCAGTATAATAGAGTTAACAGTGGTTGCAATATATTCTCTCTCAGCGTCCCGTCCCTTCTTCACCTTCCCGTGTGTATCCTCCCTAAGTATTAAAACAGTGTTTGAGTTCAGAGGAGTTTGTATATATTTAAATAACTTTTTATACTCTTTGTTACATGTTTGTATCAGTATTTAGTAGAAACTGTTTTGAGTTTGGGTTTTTGTGTTTTGGGGTTTTTTTGTTTTGTTTTTATTTTGGTGGGGGAAGATTATAATTTTTTTTTTTTGTATTGTTCCTTTGAAGCAGAGTTCTTAGTAACGGGCAGTTCCTGAATTCAAATAAACCATTTTGTATGTTACAGATTTAAAAGGGTTAACTAATTATGGGCTAAGATAATGCCTTTTTTAGTGTTTTTAATTTTTAGAATTTACTACATCAATTGTAGGTGATCGTGGGTCTCAAAACACCTGGGGACTTTCAAGTGTCTTAGCGCTACCCTCCACGTGCCTGCTCTGAGTCTGGGGTGGCGCGCCTCGGACCCACGCACGCTCTGGCGGCGTGTGGCATCTGTTCCGGGTCGTGCCAAACGGTGTTGAAAAGCGGCAGCCTTGCAGGTGAATAAAACACGGAGGCCCGGCATCCAGTAACAGATGAGGGGTTTCCTGATTTCCGTCTTACGGGGAAGAAAGGTATCCATCCTGAAGGGCAGAGTGGGGGCTGGTGCTTTTCTGGCCGGAGTGCAAGGCTGCCTCCAGGAGCACAAGGAAATAAAGCTGCGAAAGGGCTGGACTACCGTACACGTTGCAAATCCGTAGTTAGACCAATAGATTTATATAGTCAAGTTTTTGTCATGTAATTTATTAACTATTACCAAGACACGCCTAAAAGATCTCAAGTATTTCTCTGGCTCTTGACAGGAAGACAAAAATCCTAGTTGACTTAACCCTTTGCTGTCTGAAGAGTTGGCATTTCCTGTTCTGGGTGCTACTGCCAAACGTTCTGGTACTTAGAGTCCGGGAAGCACAACTCCAACCACCGCGTCGTCGGCCTGGGGCCGCCGGGTGAGCGCCGCCGCCGCCCGGGCATAGGTCGGTCATTTCAACAAGTACATTCACGGTCAGAGGTTCTGCTCTGTGGGAGTACAGTGGACACGCTCTTCTGTCCCGTCCGTTTATAGTTCTCTGGGAGAGTTCTATTTTTTGGTTTTTGTTTTGTGTTTTCTTTGGAATTTTATATCTTGTATTTATCCCTAAACATGTTTTGTACTTTTGTTTTGTTTTTTTTTTAAGAAAAGAAATTTGTTTGTGTATATATAGATCCTTGCATGATACACTGTAGTCAATGTTCGGTTCCTCAAAAAGGTCTCGCTGCTGTCGGGGGTCACGCACCACATCCACCCTAACTGTATCACACGCGTTTCATCTGTAAATAAACGTGGGACGTTTGGCCCTTGTGCTTCTGTGAGAGAGTCATTGATGGCGGGACTGTGACATGACCTTTAGGAGGTGGTGAATTTCAGGGGCAGGCACTGGGATGTTGCAGAATCCCCCCCGCTCCAAAGGATGGCGTTTTCATTCTCATTAGCAAGCAGCTGTTTTGTCAGTTTCTGGCTGACACTTTCCATCAGGACACTAGTGTCATGTGGGGGCATGACTGAGTCTTCCCCAATTTGAAACTCAATGGCTGTCACTTGTATACGTGTATTGCTCTAAGTTGTGTTCGTACCCTTTCACACGTGTCTCCATGTGAGCCTTTGCCGTGAACGTGGGTGGTGGGCCGCACAGGGCTCACTAGCCTGGTTTCACAGTTGAGGAAGCTGAGTGCAGCTTCTTCATTTTTTGCCTACACCCTCGTAGCTGGTAAGTGACTACGTATTAGAGCCAGATATCCTTGCTCTAAAGCTAGTGCTCGTTCTCTGTGTTTATGTACATATTGACAGATAACTCATTTATTCAAGAAATAAAACGTATGTGCAAAACACGGTACTAGATTTTTTGTTTGTGACACTGTATATAGCTTTTATAAGAGAACCTGGGAGTCTGTCTACTCCTCAGTACCCAGAAATGCCTAGTAATATGAAATTAGCATCTATTAAATAAATGCCTAGTTGAGCCTCCAGAAAAGATTTTTAAAGAATTCCCAGAGGTCCAAGAGGAACAATAAGTGAAGCCCAGCGTCCAAAACAGCACAGGTTTCTTTACCTTGGGAGGAAAGCCAGATGGTTCGACCAAAGAGAATCGGTGAACTAGAAGGTAGATTGTGAAGATACTGCCAAGAATCCAGAGAGATAAGGAAATGAAATACATGAAAGAGATGGGAAGTCAAGAACAGCCAAAGGAGCAGATCCTAGCGAGTGTGACGGGTTCTCAGAGAGGGAACAATTGGTAAAGGCCACTGCAGAAAAAACCACCCACAGAAGACATGAATTCTTTGGTTAACATGCTGAGTGCTGAGTGAAAACCCAACCTGGGACGTGTGAATTCCACCTGTTCTTTAGTGGTAGATGCTGGGTGAGGTGGTAGGTCTGGGCATTTGAGAAACAGGATACAGTCAGACGCAGGGCGGAAACCTGGAGCTTCCCTCCCAAACTCTCAGGAAGCCCATTTCCTCTCTTTGGTGGGAAAGAGGTTGCTGCGGATGACGGACTAGGCTGAGGTCAAGTTGCAGAAAGCCTTGAGTGATGGACTAAGGAGTGTGTATGTCAGCAGAGATGGGTTCTTTGGACAGGAGAGTGATGTAACCAGACTAATGGGTGATGGTGTTGAGGATGGGTGGCTGGGATAGTGTATCAAGATAAATTACGTTGTGCTGTGGTTACAACCCTGAATCTTAATGGCTTGTGACAACAAGACTTCCCTCCTGCCCACATTCCATCCCCACAGTGGGTTGACTGGAAGCATGGCTCCAGATCTCCTTGTCCCCTCACCTCACTGTCCCCAAAGTCACTGGCTACTGTGGCAGAGGGACAGGGCCATGAAATTCCTTGGCCCAGAAGTGGCAGATGTCATTTTCTACAACTCATCGGCCCAAACCATTCACATGGCCCCACATAATCCCAAGGTGGCCAGGAAGTGCAGTGCTACCGTGTGCCCAGAAGGCAGGAAGTTGCAAATCTGTGAATGGCATCAATGACCATCCCAGGACTAACACAGGACTTGACCTCCAGTGGTGGGAGTGGTCTTGGACAGAGGCTGTGGCGGTAAGTAGCACTTCAGAAGTGGCATCAAGAGGGTTGGTTTTGTGCTGAAGGAGACAAACACACAGGGTAGTTGTGGAAGTTCCAGGCTAGGTGGTTGCTTAACTAGACTTTTGCAAGTTTTACTTGGAGGCACGGAAGTCAGAGAGAATGGTGAAGATTGCACTTTAGATACACATACAAGGTACGTTCTTGTTTGCATGTGTACGGTTGGCTAGTTTTCGTCAATCACGGGGTAGCAGTGCTGCAGTAAAGAATGCCAACAAGGTGAAACAGCCTTACAAAATGAGAAACAGGAAGAAGTGGACTTAGATAGCACGGCCCCGACCACCACTTCCTCCCAGAGACAGTTCCCACAAATTCTAAAGAATAGCTCGCTGTCCCCCTCGAAGCTCCAGTGGGCGCTTCTGCCCTGGGTCTGGGGGCGGCTGGGCTGCATCCTGGGGTCACTGACCAGCAGGGACATTTCTTGTTGAAAACTTGGGCCAAGACTAAGATGTTATTTCATTCTAATATATTCACGGTGCTGCGATCTCTCTGTAAAATGCCTGTGTGGAAGAAGAAAAGAGAACTGTTGGAAGGAGTTTGCAAAGTATAAAATAGGACCGAAAAGAACCATTTATTTATTCCAAAAGTGATCTGAAAGCAGAGGGGCGTGTCGAATGTGGAATGCCCCCTGAGTCACTTAGTTACATACGCATGTGCACACACCAGGTGCTGTAGGGGTTCCACAGGGCAGCCCCAAGTTCTAAGTATACAGCGTGGAACCCTGGGTTCATTTTCCTTAGGAACTGGGCCGCGCCTCAATGCTGGAGCGGTGCACCCAGGCCACTGTAAGAGCCAGAGTCCTGGTGAAGTAAGGAGAGGGTGGGAAGGGAATTGCAGGGAAGCTGTCCATCATACTCAAAAGATGTCCTGCCTGCACCCCCCACGGGCCTAAGCCATATAGAAGCTAGAGGACAAGGAAGCCCCAGAAACGGTCTGTAATGTCAGCAAGCGGGGCGCAGCAGGGCAGAGGGGTGCACGATGGATCCGGGGTGCTGGGTGGGGTGGGGGGACCGCGCGATGGTCGCAGATGCCTTGCACACACTTTCAGAAGTGTCTGCTCTAGACCGGTCTTCTCGTTCTCATGCGTTTCATCCCCGTGGGCAGGCTGTCAGCTGGAACGGCTGCATTCCATGCTTATGTTTTCTTTCTAATTACCTCAGCAGGTTTATTATAGCCTTTCCCTAGTGGCTATATATTTTACTTAAGGAAACAGAACAGCAGTTCCCAGAAAACATTCTTCGCCGGTTTCTAAATTCAATCCATGAGGTTAGTTCCGACTCCAAGCAGCACTGTTTATAATGTCCCGTAGCATTAAAGGAACTGATGATTCAATTTGCTTTGCTGTTTTCCTTCGTGCTGCTCTTCCTGGGGCTTCTGTCCTTGTTACAGCGGTAAATTACACCCCCCTGGCAAATCTGCTTCCAACACAGCACTCTGCAAGACTGCTGTTTCATCCGGGGAGCTCTGTAATCAGAATCTACCACCTCACACCTCCAGCCTCGTTCCAGGAGGTTTGGGTTTATTTAGCCCAAGAGTAACTTTCTGACTTCAGGTCTAGTCGACTTTAATTGGACTGGTTATTTCTGGAAAACGCACGTCATTTATCTGATGAAAAAGCACAGGGACAGCGGACTCAGTTGATTGGAGAGGATGGTGTGATGCTGACCAATCAGGAAGAGCAGGGCTGCGTGTCAAAGGGAGTGAACGACCCTCTCGTGGGAAGGGTGGCAGATGGGTCTTTACGGGTAATGGACATTTTTCTTCGTTCTGTCAGTTCAGCCTCTGATCCCTTCCCAGGGTTGGAGAATCAGCCATTGTATGACTCTTGGCAAGAAATGGACTTTGTCTCCTGCTCTGGGATCCAGAAGGTCACTGTCCCTGACCCCCTGGTAGGCTACCCTCAGGCACAGGACGGTCAATACTGGGCCTATTCCTGCAGATGATGCAAAGAAGTGGCTCGGTTCCAGTTTATTCATTCTGGTAGCCCCATGGCAATGGTTGTGGTGGTTACGGATGAGCATTACCTTGTGACTTGTGGTCAGGAAAGGGAAGGACCAAGACATGGGGCAGGGGCAAGGAGAGTGTGGACCTTCCTCAGCCTCTGCACCCACTGCCTCCCAGGAACCGCTGAGCCATCTGGACCAGGGACCCCCGACGTCACGGTGGGATGTCTCGGAGCCTAGATGCTTGCTTTCCTCTGAATGACACACAGTCCCAGCAATAAGACACCATCAGTTACTCTAGAAGAGACTCACCGAGGTAAACGGAAGTGTGTGCCCTTCCGTAACCACGAGACCCCAGCACACCTTCCGTCCCTGCATCCTGTCCCCTCACCAACCTCACCTTCTACCCAGTCTTCCCAATTGTTCTTTAACACACTCTTCACACCACCTTCCAGACCTGGGCCCCTGCTCTTCCTCGGCCTGGAATGCCCTCCCTGAGTTGCTCTTCTCCCATCGGACTTCTTTCACTAATTTCCAGTTGGCTCAGAAGTCACCTGCTCAGAGCCAGCCTCTCTGGGTGGCCTTGCCTGAAGGCGCCCGCCCCCACCAACAGCACCCACGCACTGCTCCACTCTTCACTTCTTCACGCCGCCTGATTCTTCTTCCTACCACTGACCACTGCCGGCGCAGGCTTATTTGCTGACAGTCTGCCCTGCTCTGGACAAGCATCCTGAGCCTGTCCGTGAACTCTGCCTGCTTTCTGATCTGCGGTCTCCATTCCCTGTCATTGCAGAGCGTTGTCCCTTTGGCCACTATTAGGTAGCATTTTCCCATCACCAGGCTGGTTGATCCTTATTCTTGTCAGTGAAGACAAATCCTAGTTGCTACAGATTCATGGCCAAAGGATGCGAGGCCTGATGCTTTTTCCTTCCCCACAGAGCTAGTTCCTTGGCTAAGATGACTGCGGCATTAATGACGGCAAGCTGCTTGCTGCTGCCTTGGGAAATGACCAAGGCCTGCTCGCAGGCAGGGTAGGCATTTTGTATTTTTCCACCCCATTTTTATGCCCAGCACATTGCCTTACATAAAGCTGGTCCTTAAAGTGTCTTTGCAAAATGACTGAGTCTCTTTGAACTTGATTAGTCTTGATTTTATTTCTCAGTTGGGACAACCAGAAGGGTCTTGGGCTGTTTAGTTTCCCAAAGGAAGGTGATCACCCTGGGCTGTGGGTCAGTTGGTTGAAGCATCATCTTACACACCAAAAGGTTACAGGTTCGATCCCTGGTCAGGGCACATCACCAAGGTTTGTAGGTTTGATTCCCAGTTAGAAGGCAACCAGTTGACATTTTTCCCTCTCTCTCAAATCCATAAAACACATCCTTGGGTGAGGATTTTTTAAAAGTGAAATGATCTGTTTTCTTTTTATTTAGGTGGTATGTAAAAATCACTTTTGGTGTTTTTATTACTAATGATTAGAACATGAGATGTGTTCCACTCACTATGTCCTCCCTGCTTCCTCAGTTGACAAAAGATGGAATATTTAACACTGAATTCTAAAAGCAGTTTCATGTTTTCCGTGACTACACCATATCAACAACGGACTTGGAAACAAATTCAGGTTTTAGAGATTTTTTTCTGTTTAATCACCTAGAAGCGAAGCAGGTCCTCATCAGAACATGACCACGCTGGCACCTTGACCTTGGACTTCTGGGCTCCAGGAGTGTGAGCAATAAATGTCTGTTGTTTACCAGGCAGGGTCTGGGGTGTTCTGTTCAGTAGCCCCAGTGGACTCCACAAAGGGGCAGGGCCGGGCTGGGGCGCCACAGGCCCCTGGGAACCCGTGAGCTGACGGAGGTCCAGCTGAGCCCCAGCTGCCCACGGGGGCGGACTTGTTTGCATCCCATTTGAAATGTCATCGGGGAGGCTGCTCTTTACAGAAAGCCTTTCTGGAAGGACAGTGTTTACACCCTGAGACACCCAGACCCACACATTGTTTTTTATGCTTTGCTTAAAGTAGATGAGCACCAGCCCTGGGGACTCTGCAGCTTTGTGTCCTCCCCAGACATGCGGTGTAGGCCCCGTGAGATGGTGCGTGTGCTTACTTATCCCCCCTGCACTGGGGCTCTTTCCGGGGGGCAGTTCACCACCCCGCACCCAAGTCTGGCCAACACATGAACAGATGCATGAAATACCCAGGTGGGCCCTTCTTTGCGTATCACTTATTCAAGTGTCTTAGAGGTTGGATTCGTACTCATTCTGGGGAAAAAAACAAATATTGCCACTTCATATCCTCAGTGTCTGTATACACTGAGGCAATATTTGTTTTTTTCCCCAGAATAAGTATGAATCCAACCTCTAAGACGGATATATAAAAATTTTTAAGCCCAGAGGTATACGCAAGAGTGGCTAACTAGAGAAAACCCAGCCTTCTCCCTGTTAATCTGCATGACTAAAGAAAGCCAGGTGGCCGGCGGCCCCCACAGCCACGCGATTTTACTCAAAAATACTGAGTTGCGTGTAAATCAGTTTCCATGGTTTGTTCATCCCGGCCGCTTTGCAGGTGGCTGAGGAGACACAGCTTGTCACTGCGTGTTAAGGACCGAGCAATGTCACATTCCTCGCCCCCCCCAACATGTAACACACTGGTGTTCCATAAATATGAGGATTTTTTGTCTGGGAGGGGAGTTCATCCTGACAGGTGGAGGGACAATGATGGTCCTCACTTTACTATTTTGTTTGCTTTCTTTTCAGTTTCAATTACCCTTTGTTTTTCCTGCAGGAAACATTTCCCTCAAGTGCATGCAAGACACTGACCAGTTCCTTTCTGATCTGAATTCAGTGGAGCCCAAAGAATATGCTCTCAGAAGTAAGTGGGTTTTCCATTCTGTGGGTGAGTGCGGGGCAGGCGGAGGTTCGTGCTGGGGCATTCTAGAAAAACTCTTGAGAATTAAAAGCACAGAACCAGGTGGGGAACACAAGACAAGCCTCAGTTCACAAACTGCGCCTGGAGTCAAGGCAGGAGGAGGGATTTTTCTCACAGAAGGCAATAAGGAAGTGGTGTCAATTCTAGCTAGAAGGGATCTCATGAAGACCAGCCTGTTAATAAGATTAAAAGGTTCATGAAGTGCATGATGCTGTTATTATTATCGAAGTTGATAACGTTTCACTGTTGTATGAGATGGCTCGCTTTATTTCTTTTTCTAGACATTTAGCTTTGAGAATGAATTATTCAGGGAGCAAGTCTTGTCCGCTACGTGTCTGATAGTAAATTCTGAGGCGTGTGTTAGTGAATAGGCTGGTTCAGGCTGGAAGAAGTTCAAGGTCACCAGACCTCTTCAAGTGTGGTAAGGATGGACCTCAGGCTGCCATATTTATTTATTTTTGTCGTTTTCCCAAAATTGTTCTCTTAGCTAAAGGGACATGTACCTTCCTGCCAGAAGGGGGCAGGAAATCAGACTCACTTTCAGGGGGGTGACTTCCGTGGGTGAGTGAGTCAGCGTCAATGGAAACCACTAACAAGGAAAAAGGTAACAACTTGCTCTTTCCAAAGCCATAAAATCGATCATCGCAGTTTCCCTTTCCATTTTGGACACATTTATTTTGTACTGGAACACACCCATTGATACACGTCGTACAGACAGACAAAAGCTGGGGTTTCATGCCGGTTGGAAGCGATTGCTGTTCGACACTCTGGATTAGATGAGATGTCCTGAAATTCAATGAAATGGTGGGGAAAGGTAAATCCCACTGATGCAATAGCCATTTTCAAGTCCCAGGCTGGGACTGATTTTGTTTTGCTGTGGCACTTGATGATATTTACAGGGAACATTCAGACACACCCAAGCCAAGTAAGCCGGCCAAGAAAATCCAGACGGCACCATGACTGGCTGGGGTCCATGGTGACTAGGGGCAAGCACATGGTGCCCTCCTCAGCCATGGCTTTATGTGCTAGCACTTTGTCTGCCTTGACAGTTCCTCTAGCCATGTTCCATCTGTAGAAGCCTGAAAATGGAAAGTCCTTATTTTTTTAGTTAAGAAAAGTTCCTTCAGATGAATGGTCCAAGGAAGAACTGATTTACGTAAACGGAATAGAGGACCATTGTTTAACTTAACAGATGGCTACTACGATCTCCAGCTCTTGCACTGATTTTCATTCTAGCACGTAGAAAACACTCGACATCCTTGCCTTGACATTGTGCCTGATTTCTGAGCCCGGCGCGTGGTTCTGACCTTTGTTCTCAGCATGGTTTTCCTGTGGATGGAAAAATAACGAGTCAGTCTTTAAAGAGTACTTTCTCATGGTGGGCACCGTTCCCCGGGCAGGAGTTTTCTCGTTTGGTTCCAACCCCCGCCCCCATGGGAAGGGTGTTTTTATCATCTATTTTATAAATGAGAAAAACGAGCCACAGAGATGTAAGGGATTTTGCCTGAAATGAATTGCCAGGGTCGGAGCCCAGGGCATCCGTCCCCCAGCCGTACTTCCCATCACTGCCTAAAATGAGAAACGAGAGAAACAAAGCAAAAACAGCCTCAAAAGGAACGAGGCAGAGCTACATGTGTCAATACCGAGGGAATACACAGAAAGAACACCAAGAAAAAACGCTGTCGAATACATACAATACATCCGTCTTCAAAAATGCAAATGAAGGTGCTCTGGTGCTTAGGGAGACAAGTATAAACTACTGGTGGGAGGGGCTGCCTGGGAACGAAACCCCCCCACTTCAACTGGAGGTTGCCTTGGAGTAGGCGGTGCTTAGGGTGGGGAGGCAGCCCGGGACACATCAGGTTTCAAATGATGGGCTGAATTTTATTTTATTTCTTCATCCTCACCCGAGGACATTTTTTTCATTGCTCTTAGAGAAAGGGGAAAGGTGAGAGAGAGACATTGATGTGAGAGAGAAGCATTGATTGGTTGTCTCCCACACAGGCCTGGGTTGGGATCGAACCCACAGCCCTTCAGGTATGGGATGACGCTCCAACCAACTGAGCCGCACCGGCTAGGGCTCAAGCTTTATACTTTCAACATAGATGTCTCTTTTTTTTTTCTTTATGCCTTGTCAATCTGTTAAATATTGCATATTGTTTTGAATCTCCATCCACAATCCAAAGCATGGAGATGAGAGGCAGGATCTCTAACAGTGGGTGGGGACCTGCGGGTGGTGAAGGTGGAAAGAGAGGGTCAAGTTCAGGCGGAGGGGTTTGGCCTTGCGGAAGGGAACTGCAGTTGGTGTTCCCTGACTTCAGTCCCCCAGGAACCTCATCTCTCTGTGAACGCACCATGCCTTCCTCGAACACACAGCAGCTGCCTGGCGCCAGGCCCCAGGCTTCCGTACTCCTGCCTCATAAGCCCACAGCAGCCCTGTAAGGAGACCCACGGGGAGAGTGCTGTGGGTTGAACTGGGGCCTCTAGATAGATTCGGCGAAACCCTGGCCCTGGTACTAGTGGGTGTGGCCTGTTTTGGAGCCAGGGTCTTTGCAGACACAGTCAAATTAAGAGAAGGTCAGACTGGACTAAGGAGTGCCCTAATCCAATGACCGGTGTCCCTATAAGAGGGACAGAGAGACACACAAGAATGCCATGTAATGACAGAGGCAGAGACTGGAGTGATGTGTCTCTAAGTTGGGAAAAAGAAAGCCCAGGAGGGCCGAGGATCGCCAGCCCCAGCAGCAGTCACGCGTGGGCATGGAACAGAGCCTGCCGCGGAGCCTCCGGAAGGAACCCGTCCTGCCGGCCCCTTGATTGCGGACGTCTGGTCTCCAGAACTGTGGGACGGGAAAGTTATGCTTTCCAAGCCACCCTGTGTGTGATGGTGTGTTAAGACAGGAAACCAACACGGAGAGCTGTGGCGTCTCAGACACAGACCAACACGTGTGCATTTATGATCTGAGATGGAAACGAAAACACGAAGCAGTCTCGGGTCTCGGACCTTCTTTCTCTTGAGATGGATCAGATGTCCCCACAGCCATTTCTTAAGGTCCAGCCAGACCCGCTTGTGACACTGTCCGCAGCGAGGGCCTTGCAGGGTGAAGCTGTTTCTGTGGACTTAACCGTGAGCTCGCCATACTGGGATCCTCGTGGTTTCGTGTGATTTCTGCCTTTTCCTGCACTTTATTCCTCAGGGACAAATGAGGGGGGAGCAGGGGGCCTCTGGTTCCCAAGCAGACTGCAGGGCTCTTCATTTCCTGTTTCCTCAGATCTCATAACATCCTTGACATCTTCCCAGGCATCTGCTTTCATGGTGCAATTTTCTTTTTTTTTTAAAGATTTTATTTATTTATTTTTAGAGAGAGGGGAAAGGAGGGAGAAAGAGAGGGAAACATCAGTGTGTGGTTGCCTCTCGCATGCCCCCTACTGGGGACCTGGCCTGCAACCCAGGCATGTGCCCTGACTGGGAATCAAACCAGTGACCTTTTGGTTCGCTGGCCAGCACTGAGTCCACTGGGCCACACCAGCCAGGGCTCATTGCAAAATTTTCTTAACTCTTCAGGTCCCTTCTCGCTGATCCTACTGCCTTGGGCATCATTGTTTATCTCCTGGAAAGATTATTTCATGCCTCTGGTCCGGGTGTCTCCTCTTCCATCCCAGAAGCCCAGGCCTGGGGTGGACGCCCCTGTTATGGGAGGCAGCCCCGGGGAGCCTCTCACGGGGCTGGCTGGCCGCTGGCCTTTGTCTTTCACTGGTCATCAATGGAGGACCCTTTATTGACACTTGATTTGTCTTCTCAGAAGTTGCCTATTTTTCCATCAGCCAACAGGCCTGGCCAGTCCCCCCCACCCAGGTGCTGGAGCTGGGGACAGAAAAGTGGCTGAAACCAAGGGAATCTTGTCCCAGAGAAAAGGGGACACTGCGGGCCCCACTAGAATTTCTGGGCTAACCAGAATTCTGATATCCTTGCTGCAGCAGGCTGAAATAAGCAACCCTGTCTTGCCAAAAAGACACCCACTTTCTAACTCCTGGGACCTATGACTGCTGCCTTCTATGGAAATGGAATCTTTACAGATGTAAGGAAGCTAAAGAATTTGAGGTGGGGACAATACCCTGGATCACCCAGCTAGGCCCTAATGGCAGTCACATATGTTCTTCCCAGAGGGAGGCGGAGGGAGACTTGAGACACAGAGGACCAGGGGATGGGACCTCAGAAGCAGAGACTGGAGGGATGTGGCCACAAGCCGGGGGTGCCGGCAGCCCCCGGAAGCTGGAAGAGGCAAAGGGCAGATTCATCTCTGAGCCTCGGGGTGGCAGCCCGGGTGACAGCCTGATTTCAGTCCAGTGATACTGGGTTTCTGTGGTTTAAAGCCACCAAGTTGGTGGACATTTGTCACAGCGGTCACAGAAAACAAATACCCATGCAGTCTCTGTTCTGCAAGCTCAGGATGAAGGGTTGTCCAGACATGAGGGACACTTCCAGGAGGTGTGTGCAAAGAGCCTACTTCAGGAAGTAGCAGATCAAGTCAATGGCACATTCTGCTTGTTTTCTTGCCAGCAAGGAGTCCTCTGGCAACAGAGAGTAGGCATTGTGTGTGTGTGTGTGTGTGTGTGTGTGTGTGTCTTCTGTATCATCAACTACAGGGCAAAAACGACTCAGTTTGCATTTTTAAAGCTCTCCAGTATAACACAGTGATGCGTGTGTTTGCCGTTAATGCTGAAGATAATCATCACTTTCAGGATCTGTCTGTAGCTTGGCATCGCAGAGGCTTCTGCAGCCTTTAGCTTCGTGGTACTCGTGCATCCATATTTTAACATTTAAGACCACTCATTGGCCAAGGTCTTGCTCCCTCCATTCAAACCCAGAAATTAATCAACTCTGCATTTTAATACCTGTATATCATTGCCATCATGTGAGAAAGAAAATGTGCCTGCCAATTAGCCCAGCAGAAATGAAACAAGTTGCTTTTAATCTTTTCATAATGAAGACCTGGAACAGCCGCCCTGTGATTGGAAGGAGCAGGTGGGACTAATCATGAGTTTATTCTGCCCCTCCCTCCAGGAGGGTCACAATGGATTTTGATTTGGCTGGTGCCCACGGCCAGGCGTCTCAGATCCTTGACAGAAACTAATTAAGGATAAGGCAGGAAAAGGGCAACCTGTCCACTTGCGTTTTTAATCAGAAAGGAAGCTAATGTAATTGAAAAGTTGCATAGCATACAAAATATCCATAAATCCGATCCAAGAAAACCAGTGCACAAAGCAAAACACCAACCAGCAAGACAACTAGAATTTAATCTTCTCAAGTGAGAATCAAGGGTCCCTCTGTATTCATCCTTCAATTTTATCTATAAGGGTGAAGACAAGCTCAGCATTGACCCCCTCTTGCTTTCGTCTCCTTCAACTCTTAAAGTTCCAGATCTTTAAATTCCAGGCTGCAGAGTTGGGGTGCTCAGACAGTGATGGAGAAGGGAATTTGCAAATCATTTAGTCTATTTATAATAAGCACACCCAGCTTCCAAAATTGTTGTTTATCTTGTCATAGGGAAGACCTCAACCTACACTCAAGGAATTGGATTGAGGGTATTGGAACTTAATTTTTTTTGAAGTTGAGTTCAATTCAGCAAATGGTTATTGAGCTCTTCTGAGATACCCATTGATGAAGACACGGCCCCTCTTTCACACGGGAGACAGACTGGTGAACAATCACATGCCTTTTGGGGTGACACACTGAGCGAGGCTCTGGAATGTTTCCTGGGAAAGCGTGTCCTTTGGCCCTGAGTCAGAGGATGAGTCAGCGTTTTCCAGGCAGGTGGGAAGGAGGGACATTCCAGGCATGAGGACAGACAAGTGACGGCCTGGTGTGTCCTGTACAAGGAGCGGAGGAAACGGGTGTGGGGGTGGGAAGCTGAGACTGGAGAAACAGGTCTGGCCACAAAGGACCTTTGAAACGATGCTCAGGAGTCTGGCATTAATCCACAAGATCTCAGCTGCCAAGCCCGGCTGTGCATAGGATCACCCGGGAAATTGTGGAAAGCAATCCATGCCCAAGCCCCACCCTGACCAACTCAGTCCCCCTTTGTAAGGGTGGGGCCTGGGCATTAAGATTTCAAAAATGTGTCCCAGGTGATTCTAATGTGTGCCCAGGGTAGAGGATCAGCTGTAGGCAAGAGGTCTGCAAAGGCTTCCTAAGAGACCAGAGAGTGACTCTTAGCTTCGGTGGGCCACACAGCCTCTGTTGAAATGCCTCCACCCCTTACAGGCACACCTCGTTTTATTGCTCTTGGCTTTGTGGCACTTCACAGGCGTTGCAGTTTTTACACAGTGCAGGCCAGCCCTTCCACTGGCTGAAAGACTGTGACTTGCTTTATGGTGACGTTTGCTTTATTGCGGTGACCGAGAACCGACTTGCAGCTCCTCGGACCCCACTCGGGTTGTGAAAGCAGTGCAGACAGTGTGTCAGTGATGAGAGGGCCATGTCCCAGCTGTTCGTGGGTCTCGTTGTCAAGTGCAGTGGTCTCTCCTCATCCTTCGTTCTGCTTTCCATGGTCTTGGTCACCTGCGGTCAACCTTGTTTACAGGATATTAAGTGGAAAACTTTCCAGAACTGCATAACTGGTAGGTTTTAAATTCTGGGCCATTTTGAGTTAACATGGTGAAATCTCCTGAGATCCTGCTGCATCCTACCTAGAAGGTGACTCATCCCTTCGTCAGGGTGTCATCTCCACACTGGATGCTGTGACACTCCTGCCCCTCAGTTGCTTACTAGGTTCACCAGGTTACCAGATCAACTCTTGTGGTGTCTTGGTGCTTGAGTTCAAGTCGCCCTCATCTGACTTAATGAGGCTCAAAGTGCAAGAGTAGTGATGCTGGCAAGGTGGGTAGTGATGCTGGCAAGGTGGGTATGCCAGAGAGAGGCTGGGGAGTGCCTCCTTCAGGGAAAGAGAGAGAACAGTACGGTCAGATATTTTGAAAGAGAGACCACACTCACATACCTTGTATTGATTGCAGTATATTGTTACAGTTGTTCTGTTTTGTTATGAGTTAATGCTCTTAACCTCTTGCTGTGTCTAATTTATAAATTAAACTTTATCATATATGTGCATGCATTAAAAAAAATCTTAGTGCTATAGATAGGGTTTGGTCCTATCTCCAGTTTAAGGAATCCATTGGGAGTGGGAGAGTCTTGTAACATATCCCCCTATGGACAAGGGGAGGCTCCTCTATTATATTCACTAAACAATATATGAAGCTATTCTCACTGTAAAGGAATCAGAACAATAGGGGCAGAGCTTGTCTTTCTGCTCCCTTATCCATTTATCAGTCCCCTTCCTGAGTAATGGCAGTTATCAGTGGGTGTGTCTGTTTCTAGAACTTTCTGGAACTTTCTCCTTGAATGTTAGTGCATGTCTATCAGCTAGAAGATATTCTGTTTTGTAAAATTGAAAAGTATATGTATTGTTCCTAAACTTTTTTATTTTTACATAATAATACGTCTTGGAGCACTTCCCTCGGCTGTACTAATTGCCGACATTAAACAGTTTTCGTCCCATAAAATGGAATTTTCGTGTGATTCAACCTGATAGTTTGTTTCCAGTTTTTTTGCCGTGACCAGCATCCCTGCCACAAGCACCTTGCGGTGTGCACACGTGTTTCCCGGGGCAGGTTCTGAGGGGTCGCACGGCTGGTTCCTGGGAACATCAGCTTCAGCAAGAAGCAGAGTTTATGAGCCAAATGCAGGCAGCTTGAGGATGGAGACGAGGACCAGAGACCCGCGAGGCTGAGGACAGTCAGTCCAGGCAGTCCAGGTGGGGGCCACCCTGCAGCCTCTCAGGGGCCCACCAGGCCGGGCTGTGCTTTGGGCTTTGACTCAATCCCTCGTCCTGGGGGAGGGTTGATGACTTGTCACAGTGAGGGGAGGGGAAGGTAGGGGGGCAGCACCAGAAACCAGCCTTAAGGGACCACATCGGCTTCTGTGATGGTAGGGCAAGAAAAGAAAAAAAAAAATTAGGAGTTTAAGGATTAGAGAGGCAGAAATGAGTGCAGAACTAATAGGAAAGTTCAGCAAATTTGCCAGATACCAGAACAAATTACAAAAATCAACAGTGTTTTCCCACACCAGCAACAATCAGTTGGCAAATATAATTAAAAATGAAACACCAAGGAAAATAGCCAACTAGTCACTATGTAGGAATGGTCATGTAACCTGTTTTGAGGTTACCAAGGGAAAATGTAGTATTATAAATAAGGGCGCAAAAGATTTGAGGTAGTTGCATGATATCCGATGTGGCTTAATACAAACATGATGTCAATCCCTGGCCATATAATTTATAAATTTGAAGCAATATCTGTCAATATTCTAGCTGGATGTTTTGAGGAGCTTGGCAAACTTTTTCTGAAATTTTTGAAAGTGTTCTGAATATGAGTTTTCTGAAATTTTTATGAATGGTTTAATGGTCCACAACTGACCAGCTACCCTTTGGGGGAAAGACATAAGGCAGAACAGTCAACGCCCTTCCAGGCCACACTAACAAAGCCACATGGTGTTGGTGTCAGAGCCAGGACCGGCTTCCCAGACCCGTGGCCTTTGCAGTCCTGAGGCCCACACACTTTAAAGGGCCCCATGCTTGCATGAAGCGCGGTTTTCGTTTGGCACTAGTCCTGTGAGTTATGTGGGCAGTCTTGACTGGAACAAAGATTGTTCAAAGACTAGATCAAAAATGCAAGCTCAAAAGAATAGACTTCTGTCCAAGGAAGGATGCCACAGATGAAGAACTGCCAGAAAACGGACTGAGAGTAAATATTTCCAATGACTCAGGTAGACAAGCACCAATATACTGAATAAGGAGCTTTTGCAAATCAAAAAGAGAAGAACCACTAAAAAATGGGCAAAGGATACAAAGTGGTATTTTACAGAAGAGAAAACTTAAATGGCTAACTGACAAAGAGATTGTGGCTTGATTGGAATTAGGGAAATGAAAATTAAAACGACAATTGGATATTCTCTTATATCCACTGACTGCCCCAAAATGAGAAAGCTAGACCATGCAAAGAAGAGATAGGAGCCTGCATCCTATGGGCAGTCCTTCTAGGGTGCAGTCCGGTGGGATCCACCCAGAGTTTGTGTCCCTTGTGATCCAGGCCACCCATGTGTCTGTCACCTGGGGACACACAGCGGAGTCTAAGATGGTGATGAATGATTATACAGCAGTTAGAATCTGGACCCGAGGAGCACAGCAGCACCATTAGCAGCACAGATGTAGCACTGAACGGCACCTATAGACGCAGGGAAGCGGAGGCACAAACTCATGCAGATACATTAAAAATGCACCAAAACGGGGACACTGGCAAATGAGACGGTACACGTGGAACGACCCGGGAGCATGCGCCGTATTCTCCCCCAGCCCTGAGGGGCCACGGCTGCAGGGTGCAGGCCCGGAGAGTGGCATCAGGGAGTGGCACGTCTGCCTCCTTTTCCGTTCTTAAATTCTATAGGTTTAAGTAGTGGAACCTATAAATTTGTTGGAAAGTGACACAAGAAAGCTAACTTTGCCCACTTCTCTTGCTTTGAAATTCAGTGTACGACTCCGTTGGGAAACTTGGGAGCAATGTCCTCGGCGGAAACGTGGACAGGCTGGGATCTTACAGCGAGTGCCTCTCCACCCATGCGCCCTCAGGGAGCTTCCGGGGGCGGTACTGCAAGCTTCATGTCCAGCAGGTGAGCATCGGGTCCTGCAAGCATGCTCCAGAGGGACAACCAAACCTCATGATATGCAACCCACGAGGACTCCACCCATTGCTTTTCTTCATTGAAAATAATACTATCAAGATGTTTTACAAAACGTTAAAACTAAGTTTTAAACAGTGGCAGAAATTTGCTTGCATGTTCTGAGTGTGGGACATTATGGCAAGCAATGGAAATTCACAAACCACACAAGGCCTTCAGATGTTCCTCCTGCCGTATCACATGGGGCAAAACCTCTAAAGAACCTTCTTGGGGAATCCAAGGTCAAGTCCCAGCCAATGTCCCTGGGGACGTTAACTTCTGACTTACCATCAGGTTTTGGAATATCAAAGGGAGGGTGGCCTTCCTGTTACCCATAATCCTGTCCCAGACACAGAGCTGCAGGACAGGAATTTGAGGTAATCCTAGCAGATGGGCCGGAGCTTTTATGAGTATATCACTAAATCAGTTGGCTGAAGTCACAGGGCTCACTATCTTCAAAGCATGTTACTTCTTTTACTGCTGAGGAAAAAAAAAAACCTAGTAAAAGCACAGCCTTCTGTTAAATATAAAGATAGATTATGTGCACATCATAACAGTGCTTGTTAGCTAATCACAATAGTATGAGATAATTAAAAACCCAAGCTCTCTGACAGTAATAGCATAAAATGGTCTAACGAAGGAAGATTACCACCCAGTGGCATTTGTCCCTCAGAGAGCTGTGAGGATCGCTTCAGGGTATAATCGGTGTGCACAAATGTCACATTCTGTTTGCAAAGCAGATGAATGGTTTTGGTATCAGAGCAAAAGGTCAGGCCTACACACGTCTTGCAAGTTACATGTTCAGAGGCATCCCAGACATCCGTCTTTAGAATTTGATCTTTGCTTTATTGGGACAGACATGCTAATATGGGTTTGATTTATTAGTAGACTCTTTTCTTGATACTTTTTGTCCTGCTAGGAGGAAATGGCAATATTGCTGTACTGCTGAAAAGTATTGCTGAAAAGTGCAGGAGAGTTAACTTTTTGTGTGGGAGATGCCCCGGGGCAGACTTCCCACACCAGGGATTGCTTTCTTAAATTGTCAGCTATGTTAAGCTTTGGAGCATATTTTTATAGAAATATGAGTGCATCTGATGTTCTTCTGTAAATTCACTGGAAGTGCTCTGTTATGGGAAAGCCATCTCCAAAGAAGTCAGAAAATTTTTCCTCTTTTAATACCTTCCCCTTCCCCTTCCCAGTGTGCTTAATTTCTGGATGGTGCGGCCGCATGGCGTTACTGAGAAACAGTCCTACGTATAGTCCATGATCGCTAACATTAAAGAACGTTGTGGTCTTGTGTTTCCCAGGATGGAGCTGACTACAGTGTGGCCGTGTGTGTCCCAGACTCTTGTGCGGAAGACGATGTGACTGCGCTGTCTCAGCTGGGTAGGTTCAAAAGAACACCTAGTGAGACGACCGTCTCTGTACAAAGTTTGAAAAACCCCAACTCCTTGGAGCCAAGAAAGGCCCCTCTTTGAGGACCAAACCCATCTTTCACCCTGATACATGCAATAAGCCGAGACTAGTGGAGTTTCAAGGGCTGTGGGGGTGGTGGCATTGGAAAGGAGAAAGTAGAAAGAAGGAGAAAGACAGGAAGGAGCTGAATCTTTGTGCAACAAAATTATAAACTTAAACCATCTTCCCGCACAGTCAGCTCCCTGGTGGGCTTGAAGAAAGGATGTGGGCGGTGTCTAATTTCTCTGTTGCCAGCATCCTGGGCTGTGGTCCCTGGAGCTCTGCCAGCGGCCACACCCAGAATGCCCCGCCGAACTAGGATTGTGTGTGGCCAGTGTGGCAATGGATTAGTGGTACTCGCCCAGCTTTGGTCCTGGTTGTTCACCTTGAAGCAGTGTGATCCTGGGCAAGTCACTTAATCTCCCCACACTCCCTCCTCTTCCTCTGTACAGAGAGGGGCGGACAGGAACCTTCAGTCTGGGTCCAGCTCCCTGTGGCCTTAACCATCACTTTGGACCATAACCACAGAGAACAGATACATTTCAGTCCACCTGGAAACTGGTTTGATTTCCTCTAACCCTTTCAAAAACTTCAAAGGACAAGCTTTGAAACCTACAATTGTTATGACTAGTGTCCTTTGCATTTATTCTGGTTATCCCAAGAAGTAATATGACTTATTAAAAGCAAAACACTGCTTTGTTTCTCTGCACACAGAACCCTTCCAATACCAAAGGTGTGGGTTTCACCTTCACAGTATGGAGGTAATGCCGATCCTACAGGTTAAAGGCTCAGACGTCAGCTGGAAGGAGTGGGGCCCAAGGTTACCCCCCTCTTCCAACGTGGCTGCATATCAGTGCTGCCAAGGATACCCAACCTTGGCTTTGACAGTTTGCTCTAAGGGCTCGCAGAACTCAGGGAAACACTCTCCTTACTATCATGGGCTTATTATCCAGGACAAAACTCAGGAAAGCCAAGTGGGAGAAATGTACAGGGCAAGGTGCGTGTGAGGGGGCACAGGCCTGCCTCCCTCTCGGTGTGTTTGACATGGAAGCTCTCTGAACTCCTTCACTTAAGGTTTTCTTGGAGTTTCCATTGGGCACAATTGATGATTAAATCACTGGCCATTGGGGACTGATTCAACCCACAGTTTCTCTCTCCTCCCTAGAGGTGAGGGATGCGGCTGAAAGTCCCACCCCCCGTAATCACATGGTTGGTTCTTTAGGTGACCAATCTCCATCCTCCTGGAGTCAGCTCATTAGCATAAACTCAAGTTTGGTGGAAGGCACATTATGAATAACAACAGATGTTCCTCTGGTCCCCAGTACTCAGGAAATTCCAAGGGCTTTTCAAGCTCTGTACCAGGAGCTGGGGATAAAGACCAGAGGCGAAGACCAAATATGGACCCCTTATTATACCACAACATCGCTCACATTATTAAAAGTCCTCTTTTAAGTGTGTCTATTGCAATGAGTTTTCAATAACCTTAAATTGTCCTCTGAATTTATGATTTTCTCTTAGAGCTTCGGGTATATGATCTAGTCATCCAGCCAAATTTTTATGTGCTGTTAAAAAGAAAACCAGTTGTTACAAACCATTTCAGTTCTTGTTGAATAAGTCATAAATATCCTAGCAACAAAGGTGAATTTGCCGAGTTGCTATTAAATTAGCATTTCAAGTGAATAAATGACTCCCTAAATCTGAGTTAACGTTTAATATTATTTAAGAGATTAATCAATTAGCCTAGTATCCTGAGTGCTAAGCTTATTAGTCAGCCGACATTAGAATAAAACAGGAGGTTAGAAACTATCATCACAAAGATATGTTTTTAATTTATTTTTCAATTACAGTTGACATACAATATTATATCAGTTTCAGGTGTACTACATAGTGACTAGATATTTATATAGCTTATGAAGTGATCGCCCTGATAAGTCTAGTACCCACCTGACATCATACATAGTTTTTATGTTTTTAAAAATATTTTACTTATTTATTTTTAGAGACAAGGGAAGGGAGAGAGAAAGAGGGAGAGAAACATTGACGTGTGGTTGCCTTTTGCATGCCCCCAACTGGAGGCCTGGCCTGCAACCCCAGGCGTGTGCCCTGACTGGGAATCGAACCAGTGATCCTTTGGTTCGAGGCCAGCACTCAATCCACTGAGCTACACCAGCCAGGGTTTATATTATCGACTATATTTGCTATACTGTACACTACATTCCCACAACCATTTTAATAACTAGCAACTTGTACTTCTTAATCCCTTGCAGCTTTCTTGCCCATTCTCCAACCCCCTCTGGTCTGGTGACCACCAATTTGTTCTCTTTTACAAAGATATTTGGATGATTCTCTGAAGAACTGGAAAAAGGGTCAGGGCCAGCAGAGCTGCCTGGGCGGGCCTGCTTCAGCCTCCACCAGCAAGGCACTGCGCCAGCTTCTGCACGGAGGCAGCAGACAGAAACGGAAAGGCCTCGGCCCAGGGGAAGAGCTTCCCATCTGGAAGGGATTTGTCAGCTATTCCTTGAAGCTTTTTGATGGAGTTGCCAATAGTTCCCCTGCAGATGTGGGGTAACCAGCTCAGCAATCACAGGAGGAAGCTGTTTGGGCAGACTTGACTCATCTGCATTGGGACGACAGGGAGTTAACACATGGGGACCATAGAAGATAAGCTAAAAAAAAAAAAATGAGCCCAGTATTGCAGACAGAGGGAAGAACACTCTGGACAGAGCAGAACATATTGCAAAAAACTGCACAGTGTGCTTTCCGTAGAATGTTGTAAAATTTCAACAAACAGACTTAGTGTGGGTTCCTGAGAAGAAAAATATGGAACACCAGGGTGTTGTGATTCTAGAGAAAATTTGGGTGTGAGGGTTACAAACCCAGTTATGGTCCCTAACAAGTCCTAGCCGCACATTTCACGCTCACCTACGGTGCTTCCTTTCCTAGGGATGGTTGGGGAGAGAAAAGTTTTCCTGCTACCCTCCTAGGTTCTTTGACTGGTCTAATGGTTCAATTGACACAAAACAGGTTAAAAAAAGAAAAGCAAATCTTTAATTCCCTATGTATGGGAGCTCCATACAAATATGAGACCGAAAGACAAGTCAGGCAGTTGAGCTTCTACGCCCTCTCGGGCTAAGGGATAGGTTAGGGGCCTGGGCTTCCAAGGTGGGGAGAGTAATTCACAAGAAGAACACAGGTTTGGTAATTAGATGGTTGTCGTGCCATTCAGATGGGACATCTCCGGTTCTCTGAGCCAGGCCCCCTCTCTAAATCCTTCTAGGCACTTTGTGGCATCATGTTGTGCGCCCTTCGGGATCCTAGAGCAACATGCCACACCCTGTGTGGTTTCAGATGCATCACTCCAGTCTCTCCCTCCGTCATCACGTGGGTTCTGTTCTGTGTGTCTGTGTGTCCAAACTTCCCTCTTTGTATAAGGACACCAGTCATAATGAAGTTAGGATCCACCCGGTCCTAGTATATGACCTTAAGTTGATTATATCTGCAAAGACCATATTTCCAAATAAAGTCACACGCACAGTTCCTGGGAGGTAGGGTTTGAATCATTTCTGTGGGGGACACAGTTCAACCCAGGAAACTACCTAATGCCTAGTTTCCTAGTTTGGCTGGATTACCTGAGGCCCCTTAAACACCTATTCCCATTAGGAGCAGGAGCACCCAGGACCTTGTTAGAAATGCACATTTTCTGGCCCCACCCCAGACTTACTGGGTCAGGCACTTGCAGGGAGGAGAAGAGGGAGAATCAGCTTGCTAGACTCTGCAGGTAATTCTGAGGCACAGCACAGTCGGAGACCACTGCCCTGGTCTTACCACTAATCTCTTTATAAACTCTCGTGGTGACTAATGGGCACTGTCCTAAATTGGTGCTTCTTAGCTTCAATTTCAGGCAGTACCTTTCCCCGTCATAGTGTGGGCTTCCATTGCATCATTCCATCTCATTGTGCATTGATTGCTCTTGTGGGGACCTATTTGCAAATGGATTTGAGTGTGGCAATGGCTCCTCTTTGGGACTGTCATTCCTCGGGCTGTGTGCTAGGGCAGGATGCAAGAGTCTGGGCAGAGAGGTCCGGAGACCTGTGGTCTAGCCCCTCGGGGCTAAGTGTTCCTCCTCCTGCTGTGACTTTCAGTGTCTTTGTGGCTTCTTTGCCCCATCTGTCTGTAGATCAGACATATTAAAAGCCAGCTGCCCTTTTTAAGGTCAAAGTTTTGTTTTGAAATAAGAGATATGAAAACTCTTGAAAAGGTATAAAGTGCTTCTTGGCAAGAGAAATCTTATTAATACAATTCTTTTTCCCCCCTCTTGGTAGATATTTTAAAATTCAGAAATGCTTCCTTTTGGGCTCCATCTCTCTCTCTCTTTACAACGAATTCGTCTCCCTCATCTGGTGGGGGCGTGGCCAGATGTGCTACTGGAAGGCTCCCCCTGGACACGTTTGCTGCCGGGTGTCTGTGAGTACGGGCGTGCGAGGGACCCGGTTGGGATGCGCGTGTGTGTGTCCCCAGTTGGGCTGTTTTATCCCCATCCACTCACCAGCTAGACTGAGCCACTGGCCTTTCTGTCACTGAATTGTGTCTGGCCAACCCTGTGTGCAGGAAAACCACCTTTACCTTAAACAAGAAATTGCGCGTGTTCAAGAGGAACATTTGGGCTGGCCATGCCCAAATGTGACTGGGTTACAGGGTCACCAAGAGATGTATCCTGTCCCCAGAGACTCCTGTTTTTATCCTGCTACCACTGAAGATGAATTTCTGTTATTCATTCGCAAACACCTCTGCAGTCTGGCCTGCTGCTTCCTGTTGGAATCCCGAGTTTCTCCTTAGGGGAACCTGATGGGATCGCAGGCCTGTAGCTCGGATGGTTGGCTAAGGTGCTTTCCCCAATACCTCATTTAACCCGCCCCCTGCCCCCATAGGAGACGTCCCTGCATCCAAAGCAACCTTCATAAAAATGGTACCAATTTCGTAGATAAATAAGTTGGTTTAGTTTAAATTTAAAAAAATGGTAATGAGGGTTCCCCCCCCAAGTTTATATATCTGCTATTTATACTCCCCTCTCCTTTTCCCATGGCAGTTATTTAAGTTCTTTTTGATTTTTAAAGTTCATTATATAAAAGTATATGAATCCTTAGTCATATCTTCTGATGTTTTTGTGGCTGTTTGTTTATGATTAGTTTTTATAATTATAATAAGGGCTTTAGTGACATCCATTAATATTTTACTTTGTAATTTCTCTCATTTATTTATTCTCAGCTACTTCCAACCCTTAGAAGTGTTAAAAAGTTATGCCTCTTCCAGTAGAGGGTGTGAGTGTTTTTGTTTGCTGGGCTGTTTTCTCTGTATCTCACTGTGGTGTTGGGGTGCCATGGGCCGTGGTATTGGGTATCGGGGTGTCGGGTGAGGGAAGGCTGGGCCACACATGTGTGTCTTCTCCCTGCAGGGTCCTCACCCTGCTCGGCCTCGCCCTCCCTCTGGCTGGGACTGCATATGTGTCAGCCAGAGGCTGGGGGGCGGACCGCAGGGCGTCCCCCGCTCACGGGGCACATTCGGCCACCTACGGAAGTCTGCCTTTGAGAGAAACAGAGAGGAGCGGACCAAGAAACAGAATCCAGGGGACGGGTGGCTCACTGCCAGGAACCCTGAGCAGAGGAAAAAGTAGGCATTTGAATAACTTAAGACCACTCCTGAGAGGTGACTTAGATGAGTCCAAAATTGGAAAGTAATTCCTGCAGCGCTGGCGTCAAGCGAATGCCCGACAGCTTCCAAGCGCCAGCGTGGAGGTTGGGTCTCTGCTCTTCACAATGCAGCCTTTGTTGACTGTCCACGTGCTAAGGCGAGGTCACCAAAAATGCTGCCTTATTTCTTGGGGACAATTATCCAGGGTGTTTCTGAGCTACTCGAAGAAAGACTAGGTCAGCGCAGAGCTTGGGTTTCTCTGTAGTGATCCTCTAAGGAGCAATTCCAGGATCTAATTGTGTATTTTCAGTGTCACAACAACTCAGATGACTCACAGAACCCTCCTGGCATGCCCCCAAGGTAAATGATGTACAGGCGCACAAAGCCAGGGGAGTGAGTGTGCAACACAGCTGATTCAGACACGGCAGAGTGTGTCTGAGCCAGAAATAGAGAGCTGGTGGGGCGGGTGGTGCAGGGCAGTGAGGGCAGGGTTGCAGCGAGTCACACTGGGTTGTGTTTTAGTTAAACAATCAAGAGCATGGTTTTCATTTCCACCTGCCTGTGTGGCAAAGCAAAGAGAACACACACACACACACACACACACACACACACACACACACCCTGAAGCAAGAATAGCCTAGTCATGCAAATGGCTTCAGAATGTGTGAAGTAATTTTTTTTGGCAGTGCCCCTGTGGGGCCACACAATTGTCCTTTCTTTACTCTAACTAGGAGGCCAAAATTAAGCCAAATTTCAATGAATGGACCAGAAGAATATGAATATGTGATAAAGTGGTTTCAGGGACTACGTCCAAGGTGAAACGCAGAGTCATCATTTTATCAGATTCTGTTTGGATATTCAGGCAAAAACGAAAACAATAGTGACGCCTCCAACAACGACAAAAAAACCAACAATAGGAAAAGCAACACAAAACACGTTTGCAGTCTCCAGGCCGGAAGCTGGCCACCGGCCTGGCTTCCCTCTGACCCCATCGTGATGGGGAGGGCTTGACGTGAGGCTTCTGCACGGAGTCGGTCCCGGCTGCCCTCTATTTTCTACCCATGGGCCCTAGTTTGGACCTCTAGGGCCTCAGAAAATAATCTACTTGCTTCCTTGTTTTGATTACAGCCCATCAGATTTTGGGGACAGTTACAATGACCTCACTCGAGGCTTAGAACCCCTCAATTATGTCCTGTGTGACCAGCTCCCTGGCTGCCGAGTAGAAAGTGGCAAAAACAGCATGAGCTTAGCAGCCCCCCTTCAAACCCGACTTGGTTTCTGTTTGCCCTTGGTCAGGTTGTCAGGCCTCTGGGAACCTCATCTGCCACCTGTGCAGAATCGGAGCATAAAGCGGGGTTTGTGGAAGGAATTAAATGAGATCACATACTTACCTCATCCTAATTGTTGTTCTCTTCTTCCTTCTTAGGAAGTTAAGGCAGGAAGGGGGGTGGGTGGGGGCTGAGACCTCTCGCCACACTGACCTTGCAAAGGTGGACTGACCCCGGGAGGGACCTGCTGCAGGCATCTCATTGTCACGTGGACGGGGGGCCCGCAGTTACCAAACTCACCATTGCTGATCACCAGTAGTAGGGTTTCCCAAGAGTCCGGATCTGCAAGGCCAGATCAGGGCAGACCTACATGGTATGGTGTCAGGAATCAGCCCCTGAAGCTTTAGCTTCTTCACCCAAAATGACACTCTGTACGATTGGGAAACTAAGGTTATGGTAGTTTTTTTAACAGCTACATTTAACAGTGGCCCCCAAATGCGGGGGGGGGGGTCCATGTTCTGTTGCTGTAGCAATTTTTTAATTTCATACCCTCAAAGTAAAATATCACATTCCCAAATGTTTGAAAATAAAACTCAAGGCGCAGAGAGAGTCAGATAAACCTCAGACCACAGAGACTTCTGGAGGTTCGGAGCCAGATTGGGCATCTCACACTCCTGGTTCAGTATCTTCCAAGTCATCACTGCACTCGCTCCGTGTGGTTTCCCGTGACATGAGCCTGTCCTTTGCCATTTAGATGAGAAAAATGTGAATGAATGTTTGAGGATGCTTTTGTGAAGGAAGCAGCTAAAGGCCTCAGCCCCTGGCAGCCAGGGCTCTTGCTCTGTGTTCATTGCTTACAGTGGCTCATGGAGAGAATAACTGAAAGGGGCTGCCAGGGCTTTTCAAGCCTGGTCGCGGCCAGCGGTTCTCGAACTTTGGCGAGCACCCTGACCCTCCTGGAGGGCTGCCTGTCTCACCCAAGATTCCAGTTCCGTAGGTCTGGGGTGGGGCCTGAGACTGCACCTCTAACTCGGCCCCAGGCAGTGGTCCAGGGACCCCCAATTTGAGAACCGCTCACATGCATGCTTCATCAGCTCCTCCCCAGGCTCCTGGGGTTTGTCACTCTTGCCACTTACAAGTCTGTGAAATGGCACTCAGACAGGCTGTCTTTCCTGGTGGCCATTTTCAGGAGGTTGTACAAGCTGCTGCTAGTTAAGTTGATCCACACATAGACTCTAGGTGGGAAAAAAAAATAATGATAGCAAAACGTTCCATATTTGCTTGCCAATTTAGGCATTGGGCCAGATGTTTGACCAACATTCTCAAATCCTCACAGAGAACCCTGCCAGGAAGTGTGCTTAGTAGACAAGAGAGGAAGCAGGAGCCAGGGAGGCTCAGAAACTGGGCGGGACTCGGTAGGGCCCAGGTGTCTCTCCACTGCAGTTGGTGGCTTGTCGGGGAGCTGAGAGGACCAGGGACGCGAGGTGTGGGACTGCTCGTTGTGCTGTGGCTCTGCCTGTCCCCGGTGAGGGGACAGTCCTCTGAACGAGAGGATGAGCCGTGTGCCTTCATCAGGCACATTTGGGAGCGATAGCTCTAGTGGGGAAATGCCTAGTTATGGCTGCAGTCTCTGAGTGTGATGCAAGTCCATTCTCCCATTTAAGAAGTCGGCTTGGATTTCCAGAGCTCGGTTACAAGGCAGCTCTCGCTGGTGAATAAGTTTCAATTCTGCAAGGACTTCTGGGGCCCACCATGTTCAAGGCACCAAGCTCCGTCCAGGAGAAAATACGAGTCCCTCAGAAGCAGCTTGAGCTTTGGAGACTCCTGTTTCACAATTCTAGCCACTTAATGGGCTCTCAGAATGAGTTACATTACATTGAAAAAATAGAGGGAATAAGTAGAAGGGATTAACTATTCTTAAAGCAATAGGGCTTAATTAAAATGGCCAGCATAGCAGCTGCGACATTATCTCATTTGTTCTTCACAATAATCCTGTGATTAAAGATCTACTTTGGTTCCCATTATGCAGATGTGGAAATTTAAATGCAGAGAAGTTAATTTCACTTAGCAAAGGTCAGAGCTAATAAGTGACAGCCAGACTCAGCATGTCTGACTGTAAGGCCCGCAGCCTCAGCCCTGGAGCCCTGCCTCTGTTTCCATACCTGTTCCTTGACAGGTAGGGATGTTATTTGCAAGTGGTTCATTCTTGGAAGAGGGCCAGGGATGCCATTTCTAGCAAATGCTGGCCTCGTGGCTGGGTTCCCCTCCCCCAACCCTTTCTAACACAGGACTATGGTCAGGCATTAGCATCCTGGGGCCTGCACTTGGACAGTACATTCTGTGCAAGGCTGTGTAGGCTCCAACCTCAAGTCATGCCTATTAGGCAAAGTCAAGGTCATTGGGGAGGGAGACCAAGTCCAAAAATTCACTTATAGATCAATAGGGGTTGATGGAGAACTGAGTTTGGTGGTCCAGGGTCACAGCGAGGGAGCATCCGGCAACAGCCAGGATCACTGGTGTGTGTGTTGGCTCTTGTTTGTGAGGCAGCATGCGGATCGACCTGGCCCTCCAGGTAGGCAGTAACACCTTTGTTCTCACCCAGGGTTTCTAGGAGCCGTGGACCATGCTCTGAAATGCTTTTCTTGGCAGAAGACTATGCCGGCCATCTGGACTACCAAGACGCCAGGAAACACGTGCTCTGCCCTGAACGGCATCCGAGTCTTGAGTCTCCTCTGGATCATGTTGGGGCACACTGGTCAGATGACTGCGTGGCTGTCTCTGGGTGCGGATGAGCCTCAGGGAGCAGTCACAGGAGAGAGCCTCTTTTGTATGAGGGGATCGCGTTGGGCCACAGGAGGGGAGGCCCCAGCTTTCCTTCTGTTTCTGAGACATGGCTGTGACCTCCCGTCCATGAGTTCTGGCCGGTGGCCAGTGGCTGCTTTACCTCCTCCGAGGTATCGGTTAGGCACCTGGGTACCAGGTGATTGTGATACCGGAGAGCTGCATTTTCATTGTCCAGACAGATGCATTCCCTCTCATCCTGACAGTGAAGCCACAGACTAGCATTCTTTTTTCCTCCTGGAAACACAGGCAAGCATAAACACATCTTACGCATCAGTCAAATCACTGCTTTTCGTCCTTCTCCCGGTCCCTACGCCCCTGAAGCATTCCCGTTTAAGCACACTCAGTGCGACTCTCTCACCAGGAGCCAAATACAGGTGCCAGAACGGGGGCAGGGAAGGGCTGTGTGAAGAACCCCCCAGGACATCCACATCAGTCCACAAGTGGGTGATGCTGCTGTAGCCCCACGGGGCTGAGGCCCCCGTGAGAGGCCAGAGGAGCGTGAAGCCTTAGTTACAATCAGGCACCTCAGTCACCCCTTTTATTTTTGGTCCTTTTAAGGGAATGGTGGAGAGCACAGAACCCTCCCGATACAACTGAAAGTTGAAGGTGTTCCCTTTGTCTTTTCTGAAAAGATAAAATTGCACGATTTTCTTCTCTTAAACAACTAGACACTGCCTTTTCTGTTTGTTACAGACAACGTGCTTGACTGGAGAGCCAGGGTGCTGAAAAACCCGCTGTACCTTTGCTCCCGGAGTGGCCCATTCTACCTGGGCGTCGACACGTTCTTCCTGATCAGGTGACATGGCATTTATTTCTGCTACTGTGCTTGCTGCTCTTTGTCTGGGGACGTGTGTGCATGTTGCCCTTCTCACTTTAGAGAGAATAACTGAATAGCTCACCTTTACTCACCTGGCCTTTGCTTCTGTCCGTCTCTGGACAAGCTCCTCTCCCTCGCATGCGCAGTTTATTAGATGAGCTAGGGCGGCCCCTCTAAAATAAGCCTTTTACTAAAGGTGCTTTTATGTCTCCAAATCATTTATTTTAGTGGCTCTCAAATGTGGTTTGTAGACAGATGCAAATCCATGGTAAAGTTTCTGGTTCTCGCTATAGGAAAATGTGAAGGAAAAAAGAGAAAATAGTGTTGTTGTTTCACAAAGCTATGTTTATTTCAATTTACTACTAAGAGGTAAAATTCCTTAATGGTTTGGAAAATGTCAGGTACCATGTGAAGTACTTTGCAGCATTTCTACACTGAATCCTCATGCTCCAGTGTGGTAGGGACCCCTGTTAAAATCCCCATTTTGGGGAGGTTAAGAATAGTATAGGAAATGGGGAAGCCAGAGAACTTATATGTATGATCCGTGGACATGAACTAAGGCAGGGGATGCTGGAGGGAATGGGCATCCTGGGTGGAAGGGAACAAAGGGTAGGGAAAAATGGGAAACCGTAATAGCATAATCAATAAAATATACTTAAATAAATCAATAAATAAATACCCCTAAGATCTGGCTGTGTGGGGCTGGCATTCTACAGAAAAAATTCCCCATTTTTTAAGTTGAGGTGAAATTCACATAACACAAAATCGACTGCTTGAAGTGAACAATTCAGTGGCATTTGGCACGTACATAAGGTTGTACAACCACCACTTCTGTCTAGTTCCCGACATTTTCATCACCCCCCCAAAAAACTTCATGCCCATGAAGAAGTCACTCCCCAGCCGCCCCTGTCCCCCCCTTCCTGGAAACCTGCTTTCTGTCTCTGTGAGTTTACCTGTTTGGACATTTCATAGAAACAGATTGCGTCACATGTGGCCTGTTGTGCTGGCTTCTGTCACTTAGCTTGATGTTTTTGATGCCCATCTATGTTGTAGCCGGTGTCAGAACATCATGTCCTTCTGTGGCTGAGTAATCGTTCGCTGTATGGACAGAGCATAAAACCTCCACTTTGAAGAGAAGGAAGTTGAGACTGAAGGGCACAGTCCCGGTGGTGCCATGACTGAAACTCAGGCACCTGACTCCGTGTTCAGGAGTTCACGTTTTAGCCACGGGGCTGCCCTGCCTCCTGAGCTGAATGTGCCTTCCTCCTTCACAGGGAGGTGGTGATGGTAGATAGCAGCTCTTCTTATCAGATGCTAAGCACCCATCCATCCAGCCACAGCCTGGTGAATGTCTATTTGTCAGGCATCATCCTGAGATACAGCCGTGGGTAAAACAGAGATGGACCTCCCCTGGTGCTTCCATTAGAGAAAGAGAGAGTGTGTGTGTGTATGCATAGGAAACCAGCAACAAGCATAGAAATGAACAAAAAACAAGCTGGTAGTGATAAATATCAGGGAAGAACTAGAGGAGATAGGAGAAGCAGCTGTTTCAATGAGGTTGGAGAAGCCTGGTCTGATGAGGGGCCGTCCCATCCGAGACCTGAATGGCAAGAGGAAGCCCAGGACGAGAAAGTTCCTGGCAGAGGGAGCAACTAGGGAAAAAGGGCTAAGTCGAGAGAGAGCGAGCCTTGTGAAGGGCATCAGAGGCTATAGGTCATCCTGAGCCCTCGGTGGGAAACTGAGAGAACAGAAGGAAGGCTGAAGGATAGTGTGGGCGTGGGGGGAAGGGCGAAGGTGAAGGCAGGAAAGGGGGCGGGACTGACCTCGGAGGACCTTGTAGCAATGCCAAGGAGTTTGGGTGGCTGTGTTGGCGAAATGGGAAGTCGCTGGATCGCTTTAGCTTGGAAGGTGATATGATCTGACACTTTAACAGGGTCACTCTGGCTGCCATGTCAATACTGGATCTAACGAGGGCTGAGGAGGAAGCAGGAAGATCAATCGGGTGACCTTTGTTGAATTTCAGATGAGAAATGATTAAGGCTTGGACTGGGTGTTGGTGGCTGGGATCGAGAGAAGGCCATGTTCAAGATACATTTTAGAGGTGGGATTGTTAGAATGTGCTGATGGGTTGGACGTGAAATATGAACAAAGAAGGAGTTGATGCCGACGTCTAGGTTTTGGCTTTGGAAACTGAACAGGTGGTGATGTTAGTGATTGACGGGAAGGAGATCAGAAGAGAAGCAGCTTGGGAGAGAGAAGTCCAGCTTCCTGTTTTGGACGCACTAAGGCTGAAGGACCTTGCAGACTTCCATGCAGAGATGTGAAGTAAGCAGTTGCCTCTGTGGGTCTGGAGATCAGTGGAAATGTCAAGGCTGGAGAGGGAAATTGTGGAGCACCTGGAACACTGGTGGTTTTAAAGCCACAGGACCAAGTCGGATGCCGGGAGGAGCGCGGGATGGCAGATTGGGGCTGAATCCCGGACATCCGATGTCCCAGCCTTTAGAAGCTGGAAGGAAGAGGAGGAGTTGGGAAAGGAGCCTGACAAGGCCTTTCTTGTCCCCCATCTAAAACGACCCACCCAGCGCCCCCCTTCACTTCCCCTGATTTGTTTGTTCTCTTTATCTAATCACTATAGCACCTCTCTCTCTCTCTCTCTGTGTCTCTCTCCTCTGTCTCCACTGGAATGTAAGGCAGGATGTCTCCCGCTGCAGGAGCCGCTATCACCAGTGCCGAGGGCAGTGCCAGGCACGTAACACTGCTCAACACATCACTGTTGGAATGATTTCTTAATTGTCTTATCTCGAGACTCTAGTGTGGCAGTTTTGGGGGCAGAAAAAGTAGGGGGCAGAATAAGCTGAAGCCTGCCCACTAGGGCAACAGCTCATGCTAGGAGGTGGCCAAGGTGACAACAGACAGTAGCCCAGACAGATAAAGGTCAGAGTCCACCCTCAGCGGCAAGCCCAGCAGAGATTTGGAATCTCTGGGCAGTAGACTTCCCAACGGGGCACAGCTGAGTCTAACCCAGAGGTGAAGCCCAACTGTCGGAGACCTAGGGCAGGTGCTGAGGGCAGTGAAGCCTGTTTACAGCCCAGCAAAGACCAGAACTCTGTTCCCTGCAAAGGAGGCTGATATGAACAAGGCAAAAACAATCAAAAACAAAAAACAAAAGAAAAATCCCACCCCGCACCATATTCCAAATGCACTTGTGGGCAGAGCTCCAAGCTCTGGAAAGGCGGCTGGCAAGGACCGATCAGGACGGCTGGAACCACGGCCAAGCTCAAGCTACAGAATTGCCACTAGGAGGGAAGGATGAAGGACTTGAGAGGCCATCGGTCATCCTGGGCCAAACCGAGACAACAGAGGAACCATAGGGTTAGCTCAGAGGTGTCCGAAACACAGACCCAGGTGACTGAAATTCCAAATGTCCAGGAAACTGCAAATCTGTGCTGCCTCACAGCTGGTTCGGGGGGCAGCCTGGGGAGAGCTCTTCCCACTATCTGTGGTTCTGAGCGTCGGGTCCTTGCCCAATGGCACCGACATTTTCCGGAAGCTTGTTCAAAATGCAGATTCTCAGGCCCCGCCCAGACCCACTCAATCAGACACCTGGGCTGGTACAGGCTGTCCAGCTGCTGCCGCCGCTGCCACAGACTGAACTCCAGCAAGGCGAGAACTCGGACCCTGAACCGCTCGTGTACTGGAGATCCCAGTACCGTCTAAGAAACAAAGAAATACATTTTTTCTTTGCTGCCGTTTGCTTTTACTTTTCATTGCCAGTCTCAGTAACTGTTTTTTCCTTACAATTTCATTTTATTAACTTTATAAAGTGCATATAGGCTTTTAAGGGAACTTTGTGTTTGAACAATGGAAACGTTACTAAGAATGAAAGTTCATATGGCCACTCTGCTAAGAGCTTACAGTCTCCTGTCCTGCACATGTCTCCCAATCCACCTACGGAGCTGGAACCAATATCAGGCCCATTTTACAGATGAGAGAGTTGGTATTCAGAGATGAAATAATGTACTCAAGTCCCCCAGCTGGGAAAGTTAGAATCAGAGGTCAAGTGGAATGTTTGTTTCATGGCAAAAGTATGTCTTAACCATGACATCACTGATGGGTTCACACAGGAAGACCAAAGACGTGGCAGGTTAACCAGTGACGTTTTAGAATCCCTTTCTGTTGCTCCGGGTGACTTCTCCATTGCAAGACTTCACTCTCTCCCAGTCTGTTTAGGTCTCTGGCTCTTCTTGGTCTCCTGGAACCGCTCGTGTTGCTCAGAGCCTGTGTTCATGCCAGACTTTTCCTCTGTCCTGTCTTCATGGACTAAGGCTGGATGGCGCATGCAGAGGGAAACCCAGGCCTTGCTTAGCAACCACACTGGCCGGGGGGAGCCGGTCACGCTGAAACACAGGCTTGCTCAGGCCCCTGGTTCGTCCTTCCCTGAACTTCAGAGGAGGCCAGAATGAGAACCGACGTCCTAATTCCACACTGCGTTGCTCTTTCTTAGATGTCTCTAGAAGTTCTCGCTGGCAGAGAATGAAGACGTCCTCCAACAGCCCCTGCTCCCTTCCAAGTCCCACCCAACAGATGAGGCCTTTTGCAGAGGAAATGCATTCATTCCTGAGGGAAACGCCCACAGGATCATTTTTGTACCAAGGATGGGAAACTCACAAACTTGTTTACCATCACATTACGACTCCAAGGCCTAACCTCAGTTTCTTTAACTGACCCCTCGTGAATTTGTCACCAGGATGTGCTGGTTGGGGATGCTCACAGGGATTGTGGGCAGCCCACGTAACGGTCTGGGGGTCTGAACATCCGCATTAGGTAGGCAGGAACGGTAATACAGTCCCCTTCACCTAACAGGGCTGTTTACTCACTTCTTTGATTATTCAATTCACTCAAAAGCCATTGCAACGTGGTTGGTAAGGCCCAAGAAGCAAAAGCAACCCCAGAGATGGTACCGTGAAAATGACCTGGTACTAGAGAAATGAATGATTAAACATTTTTATTGACCGATTTTAGAGGAAGAAAGGGGGAGAAGGAGAAGGGTGGGGAGAGAGAGGGAAACATTTATTTTTTTGTTCTACTTATTTATGCATCCACTGGTTGACTCTTGTATGTGCCCTGACCAGGGAAGAAACGAAAAGCCTTGACACTATTTCACTGCCAAGACCAACGTGGCAGTGGTTAGCATTCGCCAGACATTTCCAGCTCTCCTCCCTCCAGACACTTGGTAACGAGACATTTTCCCACCCCGTAGTGGTTGGTGGGACCGCATCGCCCGGGCTGACCTGGTACTGGCCTCATGCTGAGAGCTTTAAACACGGCCTCTCTCGGCTAGGACAGGTGACTGCTGGCTTGAGGCCATCTCTGCTATGATCCCTGGTGATCTTGGAGACTCCACCAGCCTGGGTCCCCAGTGCTGAAGTCGCTGACCTCAGAGTGGATGGCTGTGGGCATGCGGCAGAAACAAGGAAAAAAACGCTCGTTGTTTTAAGACTTGGAGGCTTGTTTTGTTATCACAGCAGCATTTATCCTGCCTTGATAGAGAAACCAGATTAATCAGCCGACAAGCTGCATCGCTGGCTGGTAATTCCTGTGACTTTTCTTCTCTTTTTCTCAGTGGCTGGTTAAGTGTGAAGTCATTTTTAAAGATGCAGCAGCCTTCAGAAAAAGGAATAACTGCTCATATCATACTGAGATACTGCTTTAATCGCTTTATAAGGTAGGTTTATTTGTATAATTTCTCAATTTACTATGGCCGTGTAGTAATTTCTGATCTGTAAATTCGCAAACTCTCTTTTGAAATAATTTTTAAAGAAAAATAAATGGAGAGACATCATTTTCTTCCTTAAATATAGCTGATTTTTACTGGCTTAATGGCTTTTGCCAATGGGAGATTCCAGTTTTCATGGTATTTGTCCTAATAAAATTTGAGCTCTCTTAAACCAGCAAAAACATCCTTATTCCTTAAGCTGATGGACAGCAGATTCCAGTAACTGTACTGTCAGATTTTCACAGAATCCTTATTCACCAGGAGAATTGGTATGGCTCCTGCCATTGGTTCTAATTGGATCCTGTAAATAAGAGTGTTAATGGTAGTAATGAAGATAAAATAAGATACAACCAGGAGACAGACTGGCCGATGCTCGGGACAGCGGTCGTTCTGCTGGGCGAGAGGCAGGGTGATGTCTTCACACGTGTGTGGGTGGTGGGGGCCGGAGGATGGCAGCATTGGGACAGAACATGAAATCCGCAGGACAGCAGAGTGGCAGGCATGTAATAGGACCGCCTACATTTATAGAGAAATGACCTTCAACTCATGGAACCCACCCCCTCCGTTTATATATTTTCCACAGTCAGTTGCTGAACTGGAGGCCGACTCTCATTCCTCAGGGCCCCTGCCCTCCTGTCACGCTGTACTGTCGTGACATCAGGAGGGAAGGACTGGAGCCACCTTCTGGGCTAATGGCATAGAGTGGGGAGGAACTGACCGGAGCTTGTCTGCTGGGCTTGTTTTCTGGCTCCGCCACTTAGCAGCTGTGTGACTTTGGGCAAATGTCACAGCCTCTCTGTGCTTGAGTTTTCTCATCGTAAAAGTGGAGACAATAATGACATCCCTTCCTTTCACTCTCATGAGGAGTAAGTGGGATAATGGATGTAAAGCACTTAGAAAAGTAGGTGACACCCAGTCAGCCTTCGATAAATGTGAGTTATCATTATTACTATTGTTATTGCTATTTACGCCTTTTGACTTTTCCTGTAAAAAGGTTGAGAATGAGTGCAAGTGAAGGCAGAGACCTTTACTGATCTGCTTTCAGCGGGGCTGTGGGCTGTCTTCCAGGCATGGTTAAACCTAGCCCTCATCCTGGGAGGCTCAGAACGCCTCTTCTGTCATTGTTAGCTGGGTGTGTGGCGCCGGGTCAAGCAGCCTGACTGTCCTGAGTCTTCAGGAGGAGAGGGAGCGGCATCCAGGCTGCGGGTTCACAGTGATAAGATGGGGTGGTTAGGGTCTGTGGTGGGGATTTAACAGTGTGCTGGGTTCTGCCCAGTAAACTTGCTTCAGAGGGAAAATCCTGGAGCTGGGATTGGAGAGCAAGAAGTGTTTGGCCAGGCAGATCAAGCCATGGTGGGGGACAGGGAGAGCTCAGGGTGGGAGGTGGGGGGGTGGGGAGGCATTCTGGGGCAAGATGGAGGCAAGGACCCCTGTGGGCACATTGCTGCACCGCCTGGGCCGGAGAGCGGGATTTGGCGTGGCGCTTTCCAGTGGGAACAGAGAGAGGGCAAGTCAAGGACACTGCCATTCCTGGCCTGAGCGACACGGCAGATGGTGGTGACATTCTTGAGACAGGGAGGTCTGGAAGAATTCCAGATTGGACCAGGAAGAGAAGGAGTCCAACCTGGGACAATGTTTTCGACAATGTCACCAACCCACTGTTCGGACATCCTCTTCAAGGTAAACCCAGTGGAAAAGGAGCCATTTCCTCTGAGCTTGTCACTGATGCCGGCAAACTCTGTTACTGCTCAGCTACGATTTGTTCCTTGTCTGCTTACTTCCAACAGGACTGGGAGTACGATCATTGTCCACACTCTTGTTCTGTATTTACTGAGGGTCCGCTGTGCGCTAGGCACTGGGGATTTAGCAGTTAATAAACTGTGCAGTGCCTTCCGGCATGAGGGTTACGTTCCGGTGAATAGAGATAGACAAGAAACAAATAAGTAGGCAACATTCAGTTGCAGTATGCAAATAAATTTATAACAAGTTGGTGATGATAAATGGCACAAAGTGATAATTTGGAGAAGGAAATTAGACAGGGTCTTCCTCTGTAAGGGTGGCCAGGGAAGATGACATTTGTCAGGAAATGTTCTAAGTAAAGAAAATGCTCTGAGGGAAGAAGAGTCTATTCATGGGGGACCCAGTACGAAGGCCCAGGGGAGGGAGCACAGTTGGTGTGTTTGAACATCCTCCAAGGGCCTGAGGCTGCTGGAGTGGAAACAGAGGAACAAGGTCCGAGAGGCAGGGCCAGGGGGTGGGCGGCCCCCGTCCTGTGGGGTCTGGGGCCACCGGAGGGACTTTCCATTTCACTCCGAGACAAGAGCCTTGGGCGTCTTCTGCATTCTATAGGGCAGTGGCGTGGTCACATGTACATTCCACAAGGATCACTTGGACTGCAGGGCCAAGGACAGACGGTGACCGGGAGGGGCAGGAAACAGCAGACCAACGTGGGGCTACTGCACGTGCTAAGAAAATGCAAAAACCCACCTTCCAGGGGTCAGTCGGCACAGAGATGATCTCCTGGATAGGGAGGAGGACAAAGGCTCCATCCAGACCCTTAAAACGACACGACTCTTCCTACTGGGACCTACATCTAAACCATGATGGGGTTTTAAAAAGACAGGTTGTGATAGAAACGTTTGACCGTAACAGATGGTCGGTCACACCCCTCCACGAAGGGGCCCAGCCAGCCTCACTTTGCATGGGCGCCTTTGTGAACCGTTTCCTGTGGACTCCTGCAGAGACGTTCCACGGATTTCTATGCACTGTTTATTTCCACTCAGCTCTTCCACTTCATAACTTCACATTGGCATATGCTATTTGCATGCAAGGCCCCGCCTCCCTGATTTGAAAGGTGGCCCGGTGTGGGCCTGCGTGGGTAGACCATCATGTGCACAGCCCGTCCCCATCAATGGGCACGGAGGAAATTGCCCAGTGTTTCGCTATTTCAAACAATGATACCACGCTCGTGTGTACATACGTATTTGTGCCATTGTGTGAACATGTTTGCAGGTAAATTCCTACCAGTGTAACTGATGGTTTGAGAGGCCTGCTTCTCAGACCTCCCCAACGGGGCCAGTATTGCACATTTTCATCTTTGAAAACCTACTCTGACTTTAAGTCTTCTGGAAGCTTTGAAAACCCTGAAGCACTTGTACATTTATATGACGCTTTCAATGTTTCAAACTGTTTCCTTGTTGATCTCATTTAATTCTCAAAAAAATCTAAGGGGGCAGAAATCCTCCCCTTTGAAGAATAGAAGGAATCATCGCCTGTGTTTTCCACAGAAGTGATCTGATTTTCTTAGTGTGAAAAATTTAGACAAAACCAGAACCCACATTTCTTGCTCTTTCCCTATAGCCTCACTCCTGACTCTGAGCCCATCCAGCAGCCTCCGCCCTGCCCCCACAGGCTGCATTTTCACCAGCGCCCCAGGGAGGGCTGTGGATAATGGGTGGGGGATGCAGACTCTCCTACGCTCCCTCCTGAGGACGTCTAATCTGAGCTCTGCTTCTGATGGGAGCAGGGGCCAACTCACTCTCCAGGGGAGGGGGTGGAGACAGACTGTGGGAAGGGAGGCTGGTGGAAGCACCCAGGGAGGGCCCAGCACCCAGGGAGGGCTTCGTGGCTGTTGCCTGAGCTGATCTGTCACAGTCCGGTGCTCTCGCTGCCTGACTCTGACGGGCAATTCCAGCCCTGCTCCCTGCATTTCCCCGCCCTCCTGGACACTCCCTGGGGAGGACAGGAAGCCCATGGGTCTGAGTCCTGAGTGCTGGGTGCTGACCTGTGATGATGCTGAGGGGGCACTCCAGCAGTCCCGCCCTTCCCACCTGTCACCCCCCAACCCCGGGCCCTGACGCCCCCACCCAGGGGTGATGGAGGTGATGGAGGTGCTGCTGGGCCGTGTGCTCTGCCCTTTGTTGCTCTACCCTGAGCTTTTAAATGCGGTTTTCAAAGCCAGGTCTCTGACCACAGCCTGCCCAGAATGGCGCGTGCCTCCCCGCTGCAGAGCCGTGTGGACACCTGCCACCCAGGCTGTCCCACAGGCGGCCACCTGACACGAGCCCCGGAGAGCTGCTGCCACACACTCTCAAGACTTAGTAGAAGAAAAGAGAACGCGAAAGAGCTCCATAGTTTCTTGTACTGGTTACCTGTTAATATGATAAGATCATGAACTTGTTGGGCTAAATAATCTACTGTATTTTGCCGTGTATAATACACACTTTTTTGCCCAAAATTTTAAGGGAAAAATAAGGATGTGCATTATGCACGGGCAGTACTAATTCTATATTTATTTAAATGTTTTTAATTCTCATTTTTTAAAAATTGTATTTATTTATTTTTAGAGAGGGGAAAGGAGGCAGGAAGAAAGGGAGAGAAACATCAATGTGTGGTTGCCTTTCCCATTCCTCCTACTGAGAACTGGCCTGCAACCCAGGCATGTGCCCGGACTGGGAATCAAACTAGTGACCCTATGGTTTGCAGGCCGGCACTCAATCCACTGAGCTGCACCAGCCAGGGTGACAGAAGTGTCCTTTAACACTTTTCTTACTGAGCTTTTATGCTGAAAGTAAAGCCAGTGAAATCTGCCAGCTCAGGCTTCTCAAATCAGAGGATCTGTTTCCTAGAGAAGAAGTTTGGCTCACAAAAGCCAGTGCCACCCACATTCCAGAACCACACAGACTGTCAGCTCCAAGCAAAGGCCTCTGCATGCCCTTTACCTTCTTTGCATAAAAATGATTGCAAGCGCCCCCTACTGGGGACCTGGCCTTCAACTCAAGCATTTGTATTGACTGGGAATCAAACCAGCCACCGGTTGGCCCCAAGGCTGGCACTGAATCTGCTGAGCCACACCAGCCAGGGCTCTAATTCTCTTATTTATGCTTATGTGTTAAACGTGTAACTCTAGAAAGCAGTAACAAGTCCGGTATGCAAAATAATGCCCCGGATATATGATAATCAGTTTTGTTTCTAAATATAAATAAATAATTGAATTAAAAATTAAAATGCAGGACTTTTTTTCCTGGAAGTTTGGGCCAAAAAACATGGGCGCGCATCATACACGGCAAAATACAGTGTATCGTTAAAATGAGTTGTACTCATTTCTTTTGACTTCTGTAAGCGCGGTCACCAGAACACTCAGGGGCTGGTATGGCTGGAATTCTGTTTCCATCAAACGGCACTGGTCTAGACCCTGGGTGCCTCATCCGTCATCTTTACAGCCGCTTCAAATCCCGCCTGGAAGGAGGTAGGGTGTGAGGGAAGGAAGGAAGAGATAAATCGAGGAAGGGAGAGAGGGAGTGAGCGACGGGGAAGACATTTTCACCCAGGAGGGCACATGGGAAGGACGGAGCCAATGGCAGGTCGACCTCGGTGAGGCAGAGCCCCGTCGGGCCAGGCACCCGAACTTCCCCCAGCTACGATCTCCTCATCAGTAAAACGGAGGTAACAGTTACCCGACCAGAGTAGTGTGAGGTTTGGAAGTGTCTGAAAAGTTCCCAGCCCAGGGGCTGACGGGTACGACCTGCCTCTCAGTGAGCAACAAACAGTATTTGGCGTCAGCAGCTCCCGAGCCAGCACGCGATAGGTGCACACGAAATGAGTTTGAACCCACAAGTGTTGGAGAGCGTGTTACCTGGGTTAGAGCATCTCAGCCCATTTCTGTGTGCCCAGATGGGGGAGGGAGCGGGCCCACCGTGGAGTCGCCTGCTCTCGCCCTCTGTCCCCTGCCAGGCTGCAGCCTCTCCACATGTATTCCGTGTGCTTGTTGGTTGGACTGTTCTCCCTCGTGCCCTGGGGACCCGTCTGGGAAGTGCCGAAGCTCCACCTGGACAACTGCCGGCAAGCGTGGTGGACGAACTTGCTGTTGCTAAATAACTTCCTGTCGGTCCGCAATGCGGTGAGTCCGAGGCGCATCTGGGAGCAAAGGCCATGTCTCATGTCCCATGGTGCTGTGAACTGCCCATGGGCCAACTTGAAGTGTCTGGTCCCCTTTCTCCTGGCATATTCTCTGGAGTAGCAGTGATGCCGGAGGCCGGTCTCTGGTGATGGAGGGGTGGCGGCTACACCGGTCTCGGCAGGGGCAGTTGCTGGGAGAGGCAGAGGGGGAAGCAGGGGACGAGGCGTGGAGTGGCCAGCCACCGGGGGGCATGTCCTGAACGCAGCTGGCCCTGCTGCATCACAGTTCCTGTCCCAGTCCACGATGCCCCGGGGGATGGACAGTCTCTTCACCTCCACACCGAGAGCCTGTAGTGGGCTGGAACATTGAATGAATGAATTCTGTTCCATCTGAAGCCAGATCTGGCAGAGCAACACAGTTGCATACACCGGTCTTGGCTTCCCCAAAGTCCTAGTTTCCTCGTGATGAACTTGGAGCAAATGCCACTGAGATAGCTGTAGCTGCATCGTGTCCCTGGCTTTGCATACTGCCTGGCAAGTGCAGCCACAGAGAGGGCCACTAGAGTGGGGCTGATAATGCACATAACTATTTATTGACCGGACGCTGTCTTTTGCGCACGAGTGCCCAGCGGCTCCGACAGGGCGTGTGTCACCATCGTACTGCGCTCAGGTGGGCCCACGTCTGGGACACGGGCCGATGGAGGGTGCAGCTGGCTGGGGCTGCGTAGCTTCTCTGAGGTCAAGCCCACCTTAGATCCTTAGAAGCAGAGGGGTGCGGGCTGTCACATCTGAGTCCTCACCCATTTCCCCACCCTGGGACTTTTCTCCAACTGGCACAAGGAAAGCTGTCATTTCTGTTGGGTAAATCTCATCTTCCTTGGATGGAGGGGGTGGGCGGGGAGACCAAGGTGCCTTTTGTCGCTGAGGCCGGAAGATCGCCCCCAGGTACTTCCACACGGAAGGAGCAAGGCAGGTAGCTGCCTCCTTCCACACAAGACTGTGAACAGACTGTGGAAAGAGGTGTCTCGGGCCAGACGGTCCCATGTCAATCATACGTGGGAACTCCGGGCTTCCCACATAACTCGTCTGGGGCTAGGCCTCCACTCTAAAGGGATACATTCTCTCCTCCTGGAGGAGAAGGTGTTGGGGGGGGTGAGGCCAGGGGGCAAGAACTGCAGGGTCCCTTCTGACTCCGCCCCCCCAGAACGATAATTAACCCTTGCATTTGTGTAACATACAGAGTTTAGTTCCCACAACCGTCCTCGGAGATTAGCTTGTTGTTTTTTAAACAAGAGAGACAAATGAATTTCTGTTTCGGACATGGGAACCTACCATCCAGTTTTGTTACATAGATTAGAGGTGGTGAGGTACGTGTGAGGAATCCATGACCCCAAATTCCCACCTCTCCCTGCGTAAATCCCCCAGCTTCTCTCCTGAACCAGCTCCTGGTCCAGGCAGGGAGGACAGTGACAGGCAGACCCAGTCAATGATGGGGAAAGGTCACCCTTGCTCTCTTTTCAGTGCAACGGCTGGACGTGGTACCTTGCCAACGACTTTCAATTCCACCTCATGACACCAGTGATCGTCTTTGTCCATGGAAAGTGAGTCTTATGGGGATGGGTTTTCTCCCTATGTGTCCTTTCCCACGAATCTCCGAGAGGGCCCTCCAGCTCTGGGGAGAGCACTTTGGGCACTGGGGCTGCGGACCCCTCAGAAGGGGCTGCAACACACGACCCTCCGCTGTTTACCTTCTCCTGCGTCCCCCTCCAGGTTTTGCCCCCCCGCAAACCAGTCTGTGTCCTTGCAGAGTGATGACCAGAGTGTCTCCCGTGGAACACCGTTCCTACAAACATGTCCACATAGTGACAGGACCTGTGTGCTTGTCGGTTTCAGGATGAACCATTATTTTGACGGCCGGGCATCCAGACTGTTTCCAAGTTTTCATGACTGTGAATGGCACCTCAGTGAGTGCCTTGGAACACACTGCTCTTATTTATTTCCTTGGGGACATAGATGCAAGCGCACTTAGCAGGTCAAAGGGGAGGAACGACTGTGTGACATGTCGTGAGATTGCTCTCCGGAAAGAGGGAAGGAGTTTACGACCCCCCAAGCAATCCATCAGCACACCTGCTTCTCCCCATCAGAGTTACCACCTGAGTGTCTGTTAGGGTTGGAAACTCTAAACTAAGGCCTCAGTAATTCATGGAGAGACTGACAGTTTGTGTTCTTATCCATGCCATATTTTAAAAGATTTGTTCTTCTTATTTGTTAAATTTGAGAACATTGGAAAAAAATACTAAAAAACATTAGGGTGGCCCTGGCTAGCGTGGCTCAGTTGGTTGGAGCATTATCCCACAACTGAAAGTTTGTGGGTTCCATTCCCGGTCAGGGCACATGCCGAGGTTGCAGGTTTAGTTCTAGGTCTGGATACACATGGGAGGCAATCAATCAATGCTTCTCTCTTGCATTGATGTTTCTCTCTCTCTTCCTCTCTCTAAAAAGCAATGAAAAATGTCCTCCAGTGAGAATAACACACACACGCATACACACACACACACAGCCCCAAGAACAACCACAACAACAAAAGCATTAGGATGAAGAGAGGGGACACAGTCACCCCATTTCCTCCTCAGGGAGACGTAAACTCATTGTCAATATTTCGGTGTCTATCCTTCGGATCCTTTTTTGTATAGCTTTTTATGCAAGAAAGGATTCTGCACTTGCACTTTAGTATGTTTCTTATTAATAGTTTTATGGCATAAACTTTTCCCCATTGGATTAGGGCCTATCCCAGTGACCTCGTTTCACCTTAATCATCTCTTTAAAGACCCCACCTCCAAATAAAGTCACATTTGGAGGTACTGGGGGTTAGAATTTGGGGCAACACAATCTAGCCCATGGCAGTGTCTACCAGTGACTGTTAGTCTAGCTGTAGTGGTCATTAGCTACTGCAGCCTCGTCTGGCTCCTGAGAGGTGCTGTGGATGGGGATCAAGCCCCTCGGGAGTTAGACAAATATTTGCTTGGGTGACTGCGGGTTTTTGTGAGATGGTCAGAAGGGATGGTTTACCCCTGACCTAGGACAATCAGTTCCCAGTGCCTCCCTATGCCACACCTGGTGAAAACCTATTTGAGTGTCCCTGTGACTGAGGAAATCTGACCCAATGTCAGCGTCTTCCTTAGCTGCCATGGAAGACAGATTTCATTTCCTCAGCCACGAGCCTGCATTCTCTAAGCTTGTGACTGTGCAGCTACACTGAGCTTTTAAATGAAGGGAGGGGGTAAAAGATAGGCTTTTATTTCCTTTGGAGAGTAAACTAGCATCGAATGTCAGTTGTTTAAGGACAGAGCTGGGGGTAAGTGTGCAGCACTGCTGCCAGCCTGCCCCACCCACACTCACTGCAGACATCACTCATCGATCGCAGCACCACTGAGCTCAGACTCCGCCTCCATGCCAAGCATCGATGCTACCACAGGATGAACACTCTTGGATGAAAATCCTTTTCTCCCTGGATTGCTCTGGTGATAACTGAGTGGCAGCTCATCTCTTCCTCATGGAGAACCATGGCAACATCAAACCGTGGAATAGGACTGTCAAAGGCATCACCCGGGGGGGGGGGGGGGGCGTGCCTGGAGTGGCTTGTGTCTGTGCTGGGCAGTTCCACTGCTTGGTCCCAACCCTCAGAGTTCTTAGCTGGTACAAGCAGTCGGTGCCTCACTCTGAGCCCTTGTTCCTAGATCTCGTTTTCTGCCCCAGAACCTCCTACATCCTGCAGCTGGGACTCCCTCAGGACCCCTGTGTCTTAGATACACACAACCCCAAAACGTGCAGGAATTCATTTGTGGGGGATCACTCTTGACCCATGAGGGGTAGAAGACAGTAGAAAAATGCTTCCTTCTTTTACCCTCCCTCACCCCGGACAGTTTTCATTCAGGTGTATTTCATGAAGCGCTGCAGAACATTCTGGAAGACTTGCACATTGGCCACCTTGGTGGCTCATCCTCATACTGAATTTTCTGTTCCCTGTTCTACTGCCCCATCCCTTACTTCCATCTCCACGTGAACCACTTGCGTGCAGACATTTGTCTCAGACTTTGCGTCCTGGGCCTGGAGTGGGTACCTGTGCACCTGGGTCCCACCCTGCCTCTGACAGTACCTTTCTCTCCTAAATCAATGGCCACCATGTCTGCATGGCACTTCATAGGTAACTTGGGACATTCCCAAGCCTGGTCTAATTTTGAGCTATGTGGTCACCCTCAGGATGAGGCAGGAAAGGATGTCTTTACTATCCTGTTCTGGATAGGAAACTCAAGTTCAAAGTCCTGCACAGAGTCTGCAGTTGGTCAACAGTCAAGTCTGAAGCCTAACTCAGCTCCTTCCATTGCAGCCCAGCCCCACTCAGCCACACCTGCCTCCATGTCAGCCTCTCTTAGAGGATGGCCTAGCCTTTGCCAAGGTTTCCAGTCTTTCGTGGTCACAGGTTTTGCGGTGAAGGAGACTAAAGAGCACTCTTGTCAGTGTCCTCTCTTTTTTGCAGAAGTAAACATGTCCTTGTCCTCCTCGGGGCCATGCTGTTCTTGGCTTCTTTCACTGCCACTGCTTTGCTCACACTGGCTCATGACCTTCCTGTGGCGGCTCCATCAGAAGCCAGGTAAGCACAGTTCCCAGCCCACCCTGCTACGACCCTCACCTGCCCGGAGAATGCCGGGACCTCCCAGGGAGGGCTGGGAGTGAATACTAGGCTGTTTGTGCTGTGCACAGTGGCTTCTGGAAACACTGGGTAGGAAGTGTTTGGCCCCTAAAAAAAGTTGATTGCACTTTTGTTTCCAAACTTCTGAACCTTTCAGTTGGCACTGGGGGTCTTCTGGCCACTAAAATGCTTCTCAGAGGAGAGGAGCGCCCCCACGTGGCTGATTGTGTCTCCTCCAGTGGCAAACCTCTGCTGTTGGATGCAGAGACTGAAAAGTGAGGAAGCTGGGGTTACCCTTTCAAGGTCACAGGCTACTAAGTGGCATAGGTGTGAGTTGAACCTAGGACCTTATTCACTGTGTCATTTTGCCTCCTCAGTGAGGTGTGTCTTAACATGTTTCCTTATGACCAACCATCTTGTGTATTATTCAGGATAAACCGGTACAACTCACCTGCTAATCTATTCTCAATGCAGCAGTTAGTGATGCAAATGAAGATCAGATCCTGGAAGCCCTCTGCTCAAATTCCCCCAGGGGCCGTCCATTGCTCTCAGAGCGGAGCCCCTGTCTGAGCTCTTCTGTCGCGCTCTGTCTTGCCAACTCCCGGACCAGCTTTGCTGGCTTCCTTATGTCCACACACCAACTGTGCTCCCTCCTCAGGACCTTTGCACGTGATGCTCCCTTACACAAAAATGCTTTCCCTTTAGAATCTAGATCTGGGCAGGGCTTGCTCCTTCACTTCCTGCAGGTGTCTGTGCAAACGTCACCTTCTGAGAGCAGCCTCTGCTGACCACCTGACGTAAAGTAGCCCAGGACCATCCCTGGCGCATGGAGTGCTCAATGTGTGTTGCTGAGTGGGAGGGTCAAATGAGCGAATGAATGAATGACTCTGCCCTAGGCCTTTTAATCTGGGGAGCATCATGACCTCTGTCACGTCATTGGCCTCTGTGGGCGTGGCCGGGTGGCTGAGAGGAGGCTCACCGCTGCCTTGCCCAGTGGTTCTTAGCTCTGGATGCGCACGAGAGTCCCCTGCAGGGCTTTTAATTCCCACTGATGCCCCCAGAAAGCACCGTCTCAGGCCAGTGGAATCAGTCGGGTGTGGCCCAGGCCACCGAACTCTGTACCAGCTCCCAGGAGAAGATTCATTTCTTTTGGAAGGGGTTCAGTTCTGAGAGCCACATCGTCTGAGTCATTCTGACAAAACCAGCCGCCAGAAACAACTATTGTAAATGGACGCAACCATCAAATTTCCCTGGGATCCAGGGTGGAGGGGCCCAAGGGATTTGGAACCCGAGCAAGCCAGCTGTGGTCTGCAGCAAGATCGTTACTGAGGAAATGAACAAAGGCACCCCAAATTTCACTTTGGATTTGCTGATGGACTCCATGGGCATCTGAGAGACTCCCTTCCCTGTGTCCAGGCCAAATATAGCCTTTATCTTGTTTCCTTGTGTTCTTCAGTGAAAAGGCAACCGTGTTGTATTTCTCGGAGTACTACACTAAGCCCTACTGCCGATCCGGGCCGTTCCTCGTGGGTGTCTTTCTGAGCATTTACATGCACCAAGACCACCGGGTGAGCACCCTCAGAACCAAGGTAAGATTTCTTGTTTCATCAATTTTCACTTAAAGATGATTCAAGGGTCAAGGCAAGTGTCAAAAGCAGTGCAGGTCTTGTGTCGCCTCGACCCAGGTTCCCCACTGGTGACGTGTGACAGCTGCAGGACACGGTCACCACCGAGGAGTGCCATCTGTCCATTCATGGACCTCAGATACGCTGGTGTCATGTGTAGTCCTTTACGTGTGGGCGTGTAGTTCTGTGCGGTTTTATCAGGTGTGCAGGTGTGTGGAACCGCCACTGCAGTCGGGGCCCAGAACGCCTCTGTCACCGTGTGCATCTCCCTTGGGCTACCTCGCCGTGGCCACATCCACCCTACCCTGCCCTCACGCTGACCCTCGTGACCACTAACCCAAACATGTGGGTGTTGACTGAGGTTTACGGCTCGGCACCTAGAGTGACAGCGGTGGTACAAAACGAGGCAGGTGTGTACGTAGGTAAACGCACAGCGGCCACACGGGCCCTGAGCGGCGTCTCTCCTGCCCTGCAGGTGCAGGTGGTGCTCGGGTGGACTTGCTCCCTGGCCACCCTGTTTGCGGTGGTCGCCGTGGCTTACACAGTGGACGACACCACGGGCACCTGGCCGGCTGCCGCTGCTGTCTACCAGGCCCTGCACCGGACCCTGTGGGCGGCCGCGCTGGGCTGGGTCGTGTTTGCGTGTCACGAAGGCTACGGAGGTATGATGCTTGTGTGCTCACACTGTCCCTTTGAAGGTGACGAGTGTGAAAACAGTGCACAGAGGGGCTCTTATTTGTTGGCGAATGACTCAGAAACATCCATTTGTTTATCTCCTCAGGGAAAACACCCCACATATGCTGAGATTTTCACACTGGTTCGTGTACACATGAAGGAAAGTTTGCGGCCTCTCCAGCGAAGCTGGTTTACAAGTTGGGAGAGAACAGGCAGGGTCGCGAGAAAAGCCCCAGTGCAGGAAATAAGAGTTCAAGGGCCACTCGGCCCGGCCTCGGTTTACCTCTCTTTACGTGAGACTCTGCCGAGGCCCTGATGGCTCAAAGCATCGTTTCTGTCACCTGTGGTCGGGGGCAAAGCAGACCGTGCTGAGCTCCTTCCTCTGTCCAGGGTCTTATTCTGTGGAGTTGGCCATGTTTCTGCCCTGGGTAGAGCCTTTCTGTGGAGCCCTGTTACCAACAGCAGTGGTCCTCAAACTTCAGTGGTCAATGGGCCCATTGGAAAGGAGTAATGGATCCACATTGTGGAATGTTTGTTTTGAAGGGACCTAGAAGTTGATCAAATGCAAGACGCCCAATACTGGATGAAGAGTTCAAGGCCTGGCGATGTTAACTGCCTCACGCCGAGGCCCAGCAGCTCGTGTGGCTGCACCTTGAACTAGAACCCAGACTAGTGAAAGGACTGCAGATTGTTTTACAGGCAGAATGTTCGAAACCAGCCTAGAGAAGTCAGCTGACTGTAAATGTCAGCCTCTCTTACTTTTCCATGTTCCTGCAGTGGGGAGTTGGGTGTGGGTTTTTTTCCTTTGTGCATTCTCTTAAACATGAATGAAGACCTTCCAAGAGGAAGTCCACAGACTCAGGGGCAGCACCCGGAGGGTGCAGCGATGACAACGGTGCCCTCCCGGGCCCCACAGGGTCTTGCGGCTTGGTTACTGGAGGCCTGTTCCCTCCAGGTCTGGTGGCCCGGCTGCTCTCTTGCGGCGCCTGGAGTTCCCTGGCCAGCATCAGTTACGCTTGCTACTTGGTGCACCCGATCGTCATCATCCTCTACAACGGACTTCAGGAAACACTCATTCACTACACGGACATGAACATGGTGAGTCTGCAGCTCCGCGAGGCGTTGCAGCTGCTCTCTTCCGGGGCCACGAAGCAGCCGCTGGCTCCGTTCGAGGCCCGTCATCCTTTGTTTTATTGGAGGGAGGGCCGCAGCACAGCATCCTGCCCTTGCTCCAGGTATTTCGGTGTTAATGGTCAGGGCTGTCCGTCTGCAGATCCCTTTCCTGCAGCCAGGGCGGCAGTCTTTACCATCCGCACACCAGAGGACTTTGAGAGTAAGGTTGTGTCCACTCTGCCCCTGCCTCTCTCCAGTTCTACCTTTTCTCCGGACACTGTGTGTTGACCTTCATCGCTGGGCTGGCCCTGACGCTCTTCATGGAGAAACCGTATCAGGAACTGAAGCGGTGCCTTCTGGGATTGATGCCTGCAGGGCCAGGGACGGTCGAGTAAAACCCCGAAGAGCGGTGGCCCTTCACTGGTGGTGAAGGACAGAAGCAGGGGCGGCCTCACGTACCTAACAGATGCCTGCGTGCCCGCACAGGGGTGTGCGTCCGATTTGCGAATGTGTACAGTGTGCAAGGCCTCTCTCTGTGTTTGACCTGTAAGAGAGCTCTCAGTGTTTACTGTGGAAGAGTTCTCTGATGATCTTTCTAGTAGTATGATCATTGTCCTCGCATGTACTTTTTAGCAAAAAAAAAAAATTCTGAATATTTTTGGTCTCATCCTGTGTTTGCTCTATACCCATGATCTTATGAAAACATCCAATATCATGAATTGAATCTAATTTGGCTTAAAATGCTCGTTTTTCTTACTAGAACCGCACTTCACCATCCTAGTTTTGGGGTATTATAACACCTCCACGGGCTCCTAACTTTTTCTTGAACGCTCAGGATGATTTAACACGCGAGTGTGCACAATTCGTGGGCTTGTTGTTACAAGTCTTCCAAACACTACCTTTTGTACAGCTTGGTCCCTGAGTTAAAGTGTTAATCTCCCCGCAAAAGATATGAACTTCTGGCCTGGCCAGATGGCTCAGCCAGTTGGAATGCCGTCCCATACACCAAAAAGTTGCAGGTTCGATCCTCGATGGGGGCACATACAGGTGACTGATCAGCGTTTCTCTCCCTCTGTCCCCTCAGTAAACCTGTCCTCGGGTGAGGATTAAACAAAGATAAAATGTTAACACCCCCATGTCTGTTAGGGTGTGGCCTTCTTTGGAGGTAGAGACTAGATCGAGGTGAACAAGCTAACTGAGGCCATTGGGTGGGGGTGTGGTCCTGATCCAGTATGACTGTGTCCTTCTGAAAAGGAAGTCGGGACCCAGGGATAGATGTGCACAGAGGGGAGAAGACGGCCATCTACCAGCCCAGGGCCCCCAGGGATGGCCGCAAGCGCTGGGCACTAGAAGGAGCAGGGCAGGATTCCTCCCCCACCCCTCCTCCCAGGAGACCGTGGGCCTGCCCACCCCTTGGTTAGGACTTGCAGCCTTGCGGAACAGTGAGGAGACGTATTCCTGCTGTTCTCACCTAGCCAGTGTCTGTGGCTCTTTGTCACAGCAGCCCTAGAAAGGAATGTAGCCCGGCAACAAAGACTCTCAAAGGAGAGGGAGGGGACCCCGGCCAGTGGCTTCTGCGCTGATCCCCTCGGTTCCCGGCAACGAGACCTAGGGGCGGGGAGAGACTCACAAGGCCAGGTGGAGCCCGGGTTTCTTTCCCGGTCACTTCACACCAGCCACCCCTCCTTCCATGTCTAACATTGCTTATAACAACACTCTCCTTGGGTGCTTACTAATTGAAAAAAATTGTCAGTAATCATGGGGCAACCAGGAGCTTGTTAGCTGGGGACGCCCCATCTGTGTTGTCTCTCTTTGCCATTGAGTGGATATTCAAGGAACACCACTGAGTTGGGAGGGGCTGCAAACCTCAAATCCTTCAGCAGAGTGATTGTCAGCTAACTTCGAGGTACCAGCCACGTGTCCCAGAGGTCCCTGAAGTCTGGTCTCTTCTGCTGACCGAATTCGACCTGAATGAGGAGACAAGTCCCACCCTGGTGTGTTCAGCCTGTAGTAAAAGGCACCAAGCCAGGTTTCAGGGGGGTCTGAAGCTCGCTGAGTACCTTGGGAGCCTCCTGGTGGCTGCTCCGGCTCATGAACCCCTGGACTTAATTAGGCCTCGCTGGCGGGCGGAGGCAATTGCAGGAGGAACAGGGCCCCAGATAGCCCCCAGCGGGAAATGACTCGCCCGCCAACATCGCTGGGCACTCTAACAGCCAAGTGCTTCTAGTTATGAGGCTGCAAACCCGGGGCCTTTGGAAGAAATAGCTTCCCAATGACTAACAGAGCCTTTGAAAGTTCTTTTTATAAGGAAAAAAAAAAATCCTCACTGTGGCCATTTCATAAAACATAAAGTGGAGATAGAGAAGCTCACTTTTGTTCTAGATATTTTTCAGTGCAGAATTCTGTACAGAGTTGAAGATTTATAGACAGTGTATATCTTATTTAGACTCGACAACAAACTGTAAAAAGGCATATGACATTTATGGGGCCCTTAGACTTGAACTCTGCCTGGGTGGTAGACGACCTAAGGGACTTAGTGATTTTTTTTAATGTGATAATGGTGTTGTGGTGATGTGGTTTTATTTTATTTCTGTTTTAGAATAGCCTTGAGCTGTAAGATGCATATTGAAGCATTTATGGACAAAATGCTATAAAAATCTGGTATTTACCTCCAAATAACAGTGGGACGAAGTGGGATAGAGGAAACAGGACTGGTGATGTAATAATAATTTTTTAAGTGTCCAGGACCTCATTATAATATTTTCTCTATTTTTGCACATGCTCCAAGTTTGTATAATAACAGAGCTGGACAAGTTTCTAGAGGCAGCAGATCAGCAAAGAGAAGTGCCCGCTGGTGTGTGGCTCCCCTACTTCTTCCTAAATCCTGCAACCCACGTTCCAGCTTCACACACCAGCCGGTGGGTAAGGCCAGGTCATGTCCGCAGTGCAGAATTCCCTCCAGCAGGGAGAGGTAAATCGCCAGCCCTCCTTCAGTTCCTCCTGGTGGTTTGGGAGCATCCAGGCCAATCTTGCTTGTCTGGTGAACGCCTGGACTCTGCTGTTTGCTTCATATGGAGCTCGGTCTCCGTAGCCCACACCTGCTGGGCCACCAGAGCTGCTGGCAGGGGCCAGTGTCCCCCACGCCACCCATGTCCCCAAGCCACCCTCCCCAACGCACCACCTTCTCCCATGAGTTCTCCCAGCAGGATGTGGCAGGGCTGGCTTGGTGCTGGGCCACCGTGTCCACTCAGAGCACAGGTGGTCTCCACAAAGGCCACAGCGGAGAAGTCTCCTCCGCCCGCCCTGTGCCGCTGGACGCTCTCATTCAGGCTTTGGGTGCTCATTGCAGACTTACAGAAACTGCTCTCGTAGTTCCCTGATTCTGACGCAGGTCAGGCCCGTCTTTCCTAGCTGCGCCGAGTCTATGGGCACTGGGATGGAGGGTGGCCCTGGACTGAGATTCAAAAAAGAAAAAGAAAGAAACTTTCACTGTGTAATATGAAAGTTCTGATGGGTGCAAAAAGAGGGCAGCGTGTCAATAACCCAAAATGACAGAGTCCTTTGTTAGAAAATACGCAAAGAGAATCAAGAAGGAAGACAGGCACTGAGTGGCAGCTCAGACACGTGGAGCGAGCGATGGGAAAGGCTTTCTCTCTTGTTTCATTTTAAGTAGGATCAGAATTGGGGACAGGGAGGGGCTTTGGAGAGGATCTATTCAATAACATTGTTTCTGTGGGATTTTTTTTTTTTTTGCTAATTAAAAAAAATTATTTTTCAATTACAGTTTGTGTTGGATTTTTAAATTTTTTTAAAATTTTAATTGTTGTTCAAGTACAGTTTTCTGTTTTTTACTCCCATCCCAGCCCCCCCCCCCAGTGCTGCCCACCTCCCTCCCATTTCCATCCCCCCACCTTGTTTTTGTCCACGTGTCCTTCATACTTGGTCCTGCAAACCCTTCCTCTTTTCCTTTGAAATTCCCTCCCCTCTCCCCTCTGGACACTGTCAGCTTGTTCTCTATTTCAGTGTCTGGTTATATTTTGCTTGCTTGTTTGTTTTGTTGTTTAAGTTCCTGTTAAAGGTGAGATCATGTGGTATTTGTTTTCACCACCTGGCTTATTTTGCTTAGCACAATGCTTTTCAGTTCCATCCATACTGTTGCAAAGGGTAAGAGCTCCTTCTTTCTTTCTGCTGCATAGAATTCCATTGTGTAAATGTACCATAGTTTTTTTGGTACATTCATTTACTGATGGGCACCTAGGTTGCTTCTAGCACTTGGCTATAGTCAGTCGTGCTGCTATGAACATTGCGGTGCATGAGTTCTTTTGGATTGGTGTTTCAGGGTTTTTAGGATATAATCCCAGCAGTGGAATTGCTGGGTCAAAAGGCAGATCCATTTTTAGTTTTCTGAGAAAATTTCATACTGTTCTCCATAGTGGTTGTACCAGTCTGCAATCCCACCAACAGTGCACTGGGGTCCCCTTTTCTCCACAGCCTCTCCAACACTTGTTGTTTGTTGCTTTGTTTATGATGGCCATTCTGACTGGTGCGAAGTGGATATCTCATTGTGGTTTTAATTTGCATCTCTCCAATAGCTAGCGATATTGACCATCTTTTCATGTGTCTCTGGATCCTCTGTATGTCCTCCTTGGAGAAGTGTCTGTTCAAGTCCTTTGCCCATTTTTTAATTGGGTTGCTTATCTTCTTAGAGTGGAGTCGTGTAAGTTCTTTGTATATTTTGGAGATTAAGCCCTTGTCTGAGGTATCATTGGCAAATATGTTTTCCCATGTGGTTGGTTCTCTTTTTATTTTAATACTATTTTCTTTAGCCGTGCAAGAGCTTTTTATTTTGATGAGATCCCATTTGTATATTCTTTCCTTTATGTCCCTTGCTTTGATATTTTTCATGTTAGTTTCAGGGACATCATTTGCAGTGAGGCAGCTGTGCCCCAGAGAGATGGAGCCAGGCCCAGAGGCTGTTCTTCCTGCTCGTCCACAGGGGCAGGACAGGGGAGCAAAACAGAACATATGCACTTGTACGCACACAATGTACATAGGTACATGTATGCATACATACATGCATAAATGCATATTCATATTCATAAAACCGTTCTCTTTCTTACTTCCCAAATTTTCTCTTTAACAAAGGCTGGAAAAATCAGTATTACCCATCTCGATGATTTCTCTTACCTCCTCTGTGTGCAGAACGTTGGTGAAGCAGCAGCCGTCAAAGCAAAGGTCTCGGTCCTGTGGAAACACTTGAGTGTGGCAAACCTCCATCACCTATCCCTGTTTGGTGGGAGGAGTCAGTTCCTGGGCCCTGCGCCAGTCAATTTGAAGAAATAGGCATGCAGACTCCAGAAAGCTTCAGCTGCATATGTTAAGCAGACCACAAGAG